AATATTATGCCATTTTTTTTAAGCCTTGAGGTTTTAGGAGATAGCCCTTAATAACTGCTTCCCTCCCACCCCCACTTTGCATGTGGTTTTTCCTATTAGCGTCTTATGTTAGTATGGTAAATTTTCTTCAGTTTATAAAGCAGTATTGATACATTGTTATCAGCTAAATTCCATAGTTTATTTTGATTTCCTAATTTTTACCTACTGTCTCTGTTCCAAGAGCACATCCAGGATATCATATTACATTTAGTTGTCATGTCTCCTCAGGTTTCTTTTAGGTGTAACAGTTTCTCAGACTCTTCTTTTTGATGACCTTGATGGTTTTGAGGAATGCTGGTCAAGTATATTATAGGGTGCTCCTCTCGGGATTTGTCTGATGTTTTTGTTACGATTAGATCAGACTTAACAAAGGTTTTTGGAGGATACCTGGGTGGCTCAGTCGGTTAAGCATCTGCCTTTGGCTCAGGTCATGATCCCAGGGTCCTGGGATCCAGCCCTACATACGGCTCCCTGCTCAGCAGGGAGTCTGCTTCTCCCCGTCTGTCTGCCTCTCCCCTAGCTTGTGCTCTCTCTCTTGCTCAAAAAAATAAAAATAGGGCAGCCCCCGTGCGCAGCGGTTTAGCGCCGCCTGCAGCCTGGGGTGTGATCCTGGGGACCCTGGATCGAGTCCCAAGTCAGGCTCCCTGCAGGGAGCCTGCTTCTCCCTCTGCCTGTGCCTCTGCCCCCCTCTCTCTCTGTGTTTCTATGAATAATAAATAAAATCTTTACCAAAAAAAGAATTAATAAAAAAATAAAAATATCTTTATTTTATTATTTTTTAAGATTTTTTTTAAAGATTTTATTTATTTATTCATAGACACACAGAGAGAGAGAGACAGAGACACAGGGAGAGGGGGAAGCAAGCTCCATGCAGGGAGCCCGATGTGGGACTTGATCTCGAGTCTCCAGGATCACACCCAAGGCTGCAGGCAGCGCCAAGCCGCTGCGCCACTAGGGCTGCCCTATTTTTTAAGATTTTATTTATTTATTCGCGAGAAACACTTGGAGAGGCAGAGACATAGGCAGAGGGAGAAGCAGGCTTCCTGCTGGGAGCCTGTTGTGGGACTCGGTCCCAGGACCCCGGGATCATGACCTGAGCCAAAGGCAGATGCTCAACCACTGAGCCACCCAGGTGCCCAATAAAAATATCTTTAAAATTATATAGTTTATATAGCTTAGCATGTATTTATTTATTTCTGAAATACTCTATAACTTTTTTATTGCAGTAGAAACTGAATATTTGGCCTTAAGGGTAATGGGATTAAAAGACAAGTGGAAGGACCCTGCTATTATTTATTCTGTTACTTCATTTAGTTCTCAAAATTATTGTAAAGGTGATATTGTCATCAGTCAGTTTTTAGAGGAGAAAATTAAGGAATTACACAGAAAGAAATGGAGTGGAGATTCAAGGTCTGCCAATCTCCACAGCCCATTCCCCCTCTCAATTTGTGTTGCTCACCGGGTCTCTTAAAATATAAAGAGATGAGGCAGAAATATTTAAAGTCAAATAGCAAGAGTAAGACTGTAAGAGAAGATATAAGGCAAATACAGGATTACTTGCAAACTTAGTATTTGGAACATAATCCTAGGGCAACTGATTTCATGTCCTTTGTGTCTTTTTATCTTTTTCCACAGTTTGTTTATTATTTTAAAAGTTTTCCCCCAGTTTATTTTTATTTTATTTTTTTAAAAGCTGACTTTTTTCCTTTTTAAAATATTTTATTTATTTGTTTATTCATGTGATACACAGAGAGGCAGAGAGATAGAGGGAGCAGCAGGCTTCTCGTGGGGAGCCCAATGCAGAACTCGATCCCAGGACCAGGATCATGCCCTGAGCCAAAGACAGACGCTCAACTGCTGAGCCACCCAGGCATCCTTCCCCCAGTTTATTTTTAAATACTGGAAAGCCTCTTATTTTTCTTCCTAGTTTTTCCCTCTCCTTTCCAAGCCTATGTGTCAGTCATGCTAATATTGCTACCATTTGTGTCTTTCAGGAAGTGAGTGCTTTTGGTGAGGAAGGTGAAGGTGATTATCTGGATGACTGGACTGTGCTCTGTAATGGGCCCTACTGGGTGAGGGATGGTGAGGTGCGGTTCAAGCACTCTTCCACTGAAGTTCTGCTGTCTGTCACAGGAGAACAATATGGTCGACCTATTAGTGGGCAAAAGGAGGTACATGGCATGGCCCAGCCAAGCCAGAACAACTATTGGAAAGCCATGGAAGGCATCTTCATGAAGCCCAGTGAGTTGTTAAAGGCAGAAGCTCATCACGCAGAGCTATGAGCCTGGAAGCTGTAAGCCACTGTTACCACACAGTGTTCATGACATCTGCTGCTGCTCCACCTTGGGATCCCTGCCACAGGTTCCCTGGGCAGTGGCCATGTCCCCACTGAGATGAAGATGCGTGACAGAAAACAGTGGCTGTGTTTGGAAGCTTTAGCCCTTCACACTTGAATTGGTGGTTCTTCCAGACTTTCAGTCAGTTCTTTTTGAGTACAGGACTTGCTGGTGAAGGAGCAGATGTTTTTATTCATATTGATAAAACAGAAACTAAGGGAGATACCTCTCTTCATTGGGAAATTTTTACTCTTCAGAAGCTTGGCATCATGGATTATCAATGTGTGACTTTTACTCTTTCTCCAAAGTGATAAAGAATTTCATTATTAGTCACCAATGTTGTCATTTATTAAGTGTGCTGTTTCATAATCTGATTGGCCCTGGAGTCCTACACAAGTCACTGCTATCACTCAGAGATGCTGGGAGCCTTACTTGCATCCAGACTTTTCTTCTGTTTTCACTTTTCTCCTAGCACTTCACTTTTACTAGATTTTGGCTAATTATGGCCAAAGACCCTGAAGGAATACCGCTTAATAAATAGCCAATGAAATGTTTTTTGGATTTGTTAACTGCAGTTGAGAAAAAGGTGTAGGGGTAGAAAGAGGAACCAATATTCACTGTCTGCTAAATACTAGATGCTGTATTATAGCTCTTACCTCCTTTAATCTTCACAGATACAGGGTCAATTTTACAGTAAAATAATACAGATTTTACAATACAGAACATAGAGGTTGAGTAACTGCCTGGATTCTTAAAGCTAGTAAATAAGAATAGGAATCTAGCTGTGTCTGGCTCACATTCTTTTTACTACACTGCAATTGTGTTTTGCTCTGTTATCATCTGCTCTTTTTGGTAAATGTAGAGATATCTTTCTCTAAAAGGGGGTAGAAGACTTTTTGTCCTCTGTTTACCTCATTTCTTCCTGTCTGCTGGTCAATTCCAGAAAGTTTGCTCCTAGGTCTTTTGAGCATGGACGTGGTGAACAGAGGTGTCTGCCACATCTGCTGGAATTTCAGTGACTAGCCATCCTTATTTTTAGAAAGAATGATTTTTTTTTCCCTCCTTTGCTATATGGACTTACCATTAAACTTTTGGGGATACCCGGTCTGTGCCACACATAGACCATGGCATTAAAAGGCTTAGTCTCTTTCACAAGGACTTGTTTCAGGAAGTTGAGACCATGAACTAGTGGAGCTCCCATCTCCATCCTCTCCCTGCTTTTCCTATTTCATTTGCATTGATCTTTTGGGATCTTTCCAGAAAAAAGATAGACAAATCAACATTTAAGGTTATTGAGATACTGGAACTAGGCTGGAAACAGTCTGGGGGAGAAAGAAGAAAGGAAGTGATAGGAATCAGCTGAATAAAGGGAACAAATTGGACAAGATGAATGTGAGTATGGAGGTGTGTTGCAAGGTACTCCAACTTGGTTTGAACAGTTTTCACGGAGTTGTCAGGCCTTTCCTGAGGGTTTACAGACAAAGCCTACCTTGCTAGGAGGCTTCAGATTACAGTGTTTGAGAGAGAAGTATGAATTTGAAACATGGTAGAGTCTTTGGGGAGAGGTGAAATGATGGACGAGAGGACTAGATAAGGAAACCAGTTGGAGTTAAAACTATGGGCAACCCCAATGTGAAAACTGAAATGCTTTTTTGAAGGAATTGAAAAAAGTTTTCAAGTAAAATCTTGGAGGATATTTATGGAGATTAGGATGGAAGAGCAAAGGAATATGAAGTGCTTATTTTGAAATCCTCGGAATGTTTAGCGTGTACTAGAGTTGAAAGGTACCTTTGTCCAGTTTCCTCATTTCACAGAGGAGGAAACAGGCAAAATGATGTTGATCCTGAATGGCCTATTTCCTACAATTAAGTTTGCTTCCAAGGTAAACTATTTGTTGCTGAGAGACAAGAACAGTATTCTGTAGTTATGTCGTATTCCCCCAGCCCACTGACCAGATTGTGCTATATATACTGTAGACACTGAAAACTTGTCCTCTGAAGGGTCCAGAAAATTGCGTTGCTCACACAGTAGGTCAGTACGTGTTAATTGACTCGAACAGTATTCAAACAGTAAAATGAATGAAAAACTCGTTCCTTTGTGGGTAGAATGAGGTGGGAATTTTAACTGATGTCCTTTAGTTCTTGGTTTCCTCCACAATGATTTTCAGATAAGGCTCGTATGAAAGGGCAGCTGCTTCATATGACCCAGGGTTATAATAGTAGTACCCTCAGTCCGGACCCTAAGTGGCCAAGCGGACTCTATAATCACCCGAGGAAAGTGCTTTAAAAGTGGAGCGCCGCGGCCGAGATGAGACGGCGGAGTCTGTAGCCAGCCAGGGAACGGGCTCAGACTCGGTCTCGGGTAAGCCCCGGGCTCCGCATTTCCGGGTGCGGAAGGGTGGGTCCAGGGGCGGCGCCTGGGTGTCAGTCGGCGCGAGTTCCGCCCCCCACCCCCACGGTCTCCTCTGGAGCCACGCCCCGACTTCGCGCAGGCAGCCAGTCGGCCCTGCCGGATCGCTGGCGCGGGGAGGAGTGGGGCAGGGAGACAGCTGGCTGGCTGGCGGGCTGTGGGGGGCGGGGTGCGCGCGCGCCAACGCTTCCTTGTCCGGGGCCCTTCCTGTGCGTGCGGCTGGTCGGCCTGCGGCGGCGCAGAGCGGAGCGGGCGTGGGGGGGCCCCGGCAGGGCGGGGGCCGGAGCCAGGCCGGGCCGGGGCCGGGATGCCCCTGTTCTTCTCCGCGCTGTTGGCCTTGCTGTTGGTCGTGCTCAGCGCCCTGTTAGGCCGGTGAGGGGATCCCGGCCACAGCGGCCGGGGACTGAGGAAGCAAGAGATTGAGGAGGGGGCGCTCGCCTGAAAAGCGCGCGGGAGGGGAAGGGGGCTGGAGTGGACGGTGCGCGGGCGGCGGAGGGGGAGGGCCGGAGGGGGGCCGCGGAAGGGGCGCGCGGAGGGCTGGAGCGGGGGCGTACGGCCCGAGCTGGCTGCTAGAAACTGGGAATAGGGGAGACGGAGAGCGGGCGAGGCCTGAGGGGATGCTGAGACTGGGAGCTGAATAGGTGTGTGAAGAGGGGCCCGGCTTGGTGGTCTCCCTTTCCCCCCGTCACTCGCCCCTGAGTGTCCCCTTCACGAAGCGCAGAGGGCACCTGCAGCCTCGCCCGAGGCGGAACAGGTCTGGCTACCCAGGGGAGAGTGGCGTTTGAGCCGGCCGGGTGTGACCCACAGTGCCTTCTCGCTGACACCTGTCTGGAGAGCGGAGACAGAGACCCCGTGGGGGAGTGTGTGATGATGGCACATCTGACACAGGGCTGCCTGTATTTCCAGTCCTCTTCGGGCCTCTTCTTTCTTCCTCTGGCGTTCCTAAGGATTGCAAGGATTGCTTTATTTGTCCCCGATTTAGGAAGTGGGCTGTAGTTTGTCTGATTTCATCTGGGTGGAGGAGGACTCTCCAGGGCTAGGTTGGGTTTTTGATCTTTGTGGCTGAGTGTGACAGTGTTGTTTTGGGAGACCAGAGAGTTGCCCAGTAGATCCAGCTTTAGGACATGACCTTTTTGCGAGGCGTTTTAGGACCAGGAAGGGGTAAGGACAACCAACATTGGGAGAGGGTCCTGTGGACTTACAGGGAATTTTCTGCAGGTGGTTTGTGGTCCGGTTGGTCACCAAGTGGTGTCAGCGAAAGCTGCAGGCGGAGCTAAAGATTGGCTCCTTTTTTTGGATCCAGAATGTCAGCCTTAAGTTTCAGCAACACCAGCAAACTGTGGTGAGTCTTGGGGAACTCCCTGGGTATGTATGTGGAGTGGACTCAGCTAAATTTTAACTTTTTATTTCTTTTTTTCCTAAAATTCTGGGTGGCTTTCCTAGTCAACCCAGCCTTGTCACCTCTTTGTCAAGATGATCTTAGAGTGAGTTTGGAAACACTGGGACTGATGCAAGTTGTTGAGTTAAAAATGCTTATAAGGCACAGAGTGTTCAGGGTATGTATAGTAAGAAAGATACAGAACTAAGCACAGAAAAAAGATAATAGGAAATAGAAAAGCTTACTGTTCTAATTTAAGAGGAGAAATAGCAACATAGTCATGAAAGAGAAATACTAAGCAAGTTCAATCAGTGTCATTGTCAGGAGCAGATACAGTGCTGAGGAGAGAAGTTGGTGGAAATAGAGTGGAGAATATTTAGTGGAGGGGCTATTGCACTTCCTCCTCTTCTTGCAACCTTTCCTGGCTTCAGGCTGCTCATGGCTTACCTAGCACCTAGTGTACAAAGCTTTCTTCTCCACTGTTTTAGGAAATTGATAGCCTGTGGATTTCCAGCAAACTCCTTAGCCATGATCTGCCGTGAGTACCCTATATCCTCACTCTTGGGGAATAATTTGGGATTGGGGTTCGCAGAATGCCATTCTACGGAGGCCTCACAGCTCAAGGAGGGCGCTGGGGTTTTGCTGATATCTCTCAGCCTGGAAGCTATTATTTTGTGAGACAGATATCGACAACTACTATGAGACTGTCCTCCGTGATTTGAGTTACATTTTTACAGAGGATGGGAGAGTGAATGTGACGGAGGGGTGGAGACTGCTAGGGAAGGGCTGGACCTGATGGCAGTGAGATTTCTCTTCTGGGCAGACGCTATGTGGCATTGTGCTTTGGAGAAGTACGTATCAGGACGGACCTACAGAAGGTTTCTGGCCTTTTTGCCCCATTTTCCCAAAGCACTGGGGTACATCAAAAGGAACTGTCCTTCAGTCCATCCTTACTGAAGATCTTCTGTCAGGTGAGATACTTCTCCCACTTTCCTGGACTATATAGTAGGGATGGCTGGCTGTAGAGTCATAGGTGGATTTTTCTACTGTTTTGGGAACATAATACCAAGAGATGCCTCTTATTCTTTCTCTACTGGAAAGGCATAGCAGTGCCTTGACATTAATGAATTTGCTTCTTTCTAGCTATTCTCCATTCATGTAGATTCTATAAACATCATGGTTCTCAAGGTGGCTACTTCTGAGTCTTTGTGGCACATTCAAATCAGAGAAAGCAGCTTTCTTTTGGATTGTGATGGGAAAAGGTAACCATTGGGTAGAAGAGGGTCGGGTAGTCCCATTCTTGCCTTACAGTTGTTTCAGGGTGGGTGGATGTCAGGGTTTTCTTATTAAGCTGTCAAGTTCTCATTATGTAGCAATTTGAGGAGAGGCTAAGATTAGGTACTTCTATTTGCTTTGTTCCTTTCAGCCAGTAAAACTTGACTGAAATTAAACAGTGAGGAAAGGGGCCAACTGCTCTTTTGTTTCCTTTCCCAGGCTGAAATGTGAAGTTGGCCTAAATCAGATCAACAGCAAAGTTCTAAAGAGTGGCCAATTGGTGAGTATGCCCTGGTAATTTAGATGCCTTATTTCTGGGCATAAGATATGAAGGAGCTTACATTCTAGATTCCATGTTCTTATGGGGGGAAGTGTCTCTCAAGGTGGTGGTCTAGACTGAATTTTGGCCCATAACCCCCAGACTCCCTACATCACCTTAGAGGCTTTTATCCTCCCTGCAGGAGGACACCTGCTTAGCGGAGCTCTCACTGGCCCTAAAGTTGTGTCTAGAGGTGGGCATCAGCAGTCGGCAACTGAAGGCCATCACTGTGGATATGTGGACACTCCATGCTGAACTGCATGAAGGCCTTTTTCATAGTCAGCTGCTATGTCAGGGCCCAAGCCTGGCACCCAAACCTTGTTCAGGTAAAGACCTGGTCAGTAAGTTTGGCTGCCCTGTTCTCCGATTATTCTAGAAGTACATAAAAATAGGGGTCTCACTATTCATTAGATGTGATTTGTTAGCATGACTTTGATCCTGAGGATAGCTAAAGGAAATAGGGCATTTACTGGTCATGAGTTAGATTTGTAGTATTAGTTTTACATATGGTCTCTCACTAAATTCTCAGCATTTCACAAACAAGAAAACAGAAGCCCAGGAAGAACAGCTACGTGACTTGACTGAGGTCATAGAGCTAGTCAGTAGTAAAAATGGGACATCAATTATTTTGTTCTAAAGTCCAAATTCTTTCTGTTATATTAACCTCTCCCTACTGTTTTTTAGATTTTTGGGGAAGGAAGTACACCAGGTGACTGGATCTCTGGGATATTTGCTTTGTGGCCTAAGATTGGGCATTTGGTTAGCCTACTTTATGTGGGAAGATTTGGCCAAAGAGGATAGGGTATTTTGGGGACTTGAATGTGTTAAGGATTGCTGGCTCTTGTGTTATTCATTCATGTTTTCAGAAGTGACAGAGAACTTGGCTGAGCCAACTCTGCCTGGCCTGTACCTCCTTCAGCAGCTGCCAGATCAGGTCAAGGTGAAAATGGAGATCACAAGTGTGGTGCTGTCCATGAATAGTCAAAAGAGGTAGGATCTCTCCTGACACAGAAGTGTGGAGAGTGATATGCTCTGTATGCTCAGGTCTTTGTAACTAGCTTAGTAGCTCTATATGCTCAGGTCTTTGTAACTAGCTTAGTAGCTGCACTGCACTGAGCTTGTCTGTGGGGAGAAAGGGAGTAAGAATGACATTCCATGCATTCCTGAGCCAGAGTCTGTCTCTGGTCCAGGCACCTGAATTGGACACTGAAGCTGTTGCATTTCCTGTACCACCGTGATGAGGATCAGCTGCCTCTTCGAAGCTTCACAGCAAACTCGGATTTGGCACAGATGAGCACTGAACTCGTACTAAAAGGTTCATGGGTGGGGATGTCGGTACCGAGATGATTAGACACTCTCTCCCATGCTCCATTTAGCCTTCTTTTTTTTTTAAGATTTTACTTATTATTTATTTGAGAGAGATTAGAGAGAGAGAGAGAGAGAGAGGCAGAGAGGCAGAGACACAGGCAGGGGGAGAAGCAGGCGCCATGCAGGGAGCCCGGCATGGGACTCGATCCCTTATCTCCAGGATCACACCCTGGGCCAAAGGCAAGCTTTACACCGCTGAGCCACCCGGGCTGCCCTCCATTTGGCCTTCTTAATTTAATATCAGTGTAATTGGGGATGGAGAGGAGGGAACATACTGAGAGAATATAGCCCCAACTCATGAGTTTTGGTGACAGTCTGTTCAGTCTGCTTGCCTGCCTCTAGTTTGCCTTCTGTTTTCCCAGTGTTCTTCCCTGATCTGCTCTTTGCCCTCACAGATGGGTTGTTGCTGTCCCAGAGCCGCCAGCGCATTGTCTGTCTCAACTCCCTCAAGGCTATTGTGCAGGTATGATGACTGTGATACCAAGAATCATTCCTTTCTCTGCTTTCTCCTTGTATCATTGCATTGTGAGTTAATGGGATAAAACCCAAGCCGACAGTTCTGGTGTTCTAATTTCCAGGTGACCACTATTGACCTTTCAGCCTCCCTGGTTTTGAATACTTGTATTATTCATTACCGGCACCAGGAATTCTCTCACTGGCTGCACATGCTAGCACTGGAGACCCAAGGGTCTAGCTCATCTGTTTTTAAACAAAGAAAGAAAAGGTCAGTGTAATCTTTTTAGCCACCATCTTATCAGGTAGATTCCCAGATTCTTTTGGATTAAAGTGGCATATTGTGTTAAAAATATGTATTTGATTACTTCAATAGCAATTCTTTTTCATTTTATTTTAATTTTTTTTTTGAAAGAGAGCGAGTGAGCATGGGAGTGGGAGGGGCAAAGGGAGAGGAAGAGAGAGAACCCCAAGCAGGCTCCAAGCCCAACTTGGGGCTTGATCCTGTGACTCTGAGATCACAAACTGAGCTGAAATCAAGAGTTGGGGGATCCCTGGGTGGCGCAGCGGTTTGGCGCCTGCTTTTGGCCCAGGGTGCGATCCTGGAGACCCGGGATCGAATCCCACGTCGGGCTCCCGGTGCATGGAGCCTGCTTCTCCCTCTGCCTATGTCTCTGCCTCTCTCTCTCTCTCTCTCTGTGTGACTATCATAAATAAATAAAAAATAAAAAAAAAAAAAAGAAATCAAGAGTTGGGTGCTTGGGCAGCCCTGGTGGCTCAGCGGTATAGCACTGCCTTCAGCCCAGGGTACGATCCTGGAGATCCAGGATCGAGTCCCATGTCAGGCTCCCTGCATGAGGCCTGCTTCTCCCTCTGCCTGTGTCTCTGCCTCTATCTCTCTCTGTGTCTTTCATAAATAAATAAATAAAATCTTAAAAATTATATATAAATAAAGAGGCAAACAAGAATCACCAGGGTGTGAGGCTCTGGGATACCTGCCTCTCTTAAAAAAAAAAAAAAAAAAAAAAAGGTTGGGTGCTTAACTGACTGAGCCACCCAGGTGCCCTAATAGCATTTCTATTTTATATATTTTCCCCATTAAACTAGATTTTTTTGACAGTATGATGAAGTCTTTTTTGTTTTTATGTTCTCAGTGCCAGCATAGTGCCTTATTATACAAAATAAATAATTGTTACATTGAGTTTAAGTGATCCACAATAATATCTTGTCTGCTTTAGATTATCAGGTGATAGGTCAACTGTGTCATCTCTCTGTGCATTTGTTGCGTAGACAACTTAAAGTTAATAATGGCTTGGAAGCAGTGTTCCTTTGTTGTATTAGGTTGAATCATGATCTACTGATGTTCATATTTTGACTTATGAAATGGCAATCTCATATGGTTCTATTTAATATCTTTCTTGAATTCCTGCAGATTACCATTGGGAATGGCAAACTGATGAATTTGGTCTTAGTTGCATTCCATCTTAAGCATCACAACAAATTTTTTTTTTTAAGATTTTATTTATTCATGACAGACACAGAGAGAGAGAGGCAGAGACACAGGCAGAGGGAGAAACAGGCTTCATGCAGGAAGCCCGATGCGGAACTCGAACCTGGGACCCTGGGATCATGCCCTGAGCCAAAGGCAGATGTTCAACTGCTGAGCCACCCAGGTGTCTCAGAATCACAGCAAAATTTACCCTGACTTTTGAGAGCTTCACGTACCTGTTCTGTAATAGGAAGCTGCAGTTCTTTCTTTATCGAACAATAATGTTTTGTCCTTATGCAGAACCTTCCCCCAAATCCTGGCTCCCATCATCTTTAGCACCTCCATCTCCAATGTCAATGTTTCCGTTCAGCTTGGTGATACACCACCCTTTGCCTTGGGATTCAATGCTATCTCTCTAGGTAAGACTTTGGGATGGAAAAGGAACAAGAATCTGTCCATTAGTGAAGCTAAGCCCAATTGATGTTTACAGTGGCTCCATAGAAGTCTTTCTTACCTTCTTTGTTCAGATTACCAACACCTGAGGCCACAAAGTATCCATCAGCGGGGTGTCCTAACTGTGGACCATCTCTGCTGGAGGGTGGGCAGTGACTCCCACATTCAGCGAGCACCCCACCCACCCAATATGCATGTTTGGGGTGAGGCACTTGTCCTGGACTCCTTCACACTACAGGTAGGTGGGGACTTTGATGAACGGAGCCCATATGGTTTCCTTGTCCTGCCGTGCTTTAGTGCACGGAGCATCTTTTTGGCAGAAGATGATGCATTAGGGTGTTATAGAACTGTGTCTGCATGCTTCTAAGGGGGCTCCCTCTGCTTCTTTTCTAGGGTAGCTATAATCAGCCTTTGGGCCTGTCTAGTACCCAGTCAGATACCCTCTTTCTGGATTGTACCATCCGAGGACTGCAGGTAGAAGCATCAGATACCTGTGCCCAATGTCTCTCTCGCATTTTATCCTTGATGGACACACAGTCTGGAAAGTCAGCTGTCTCTAGAGAATCTTCATTTGGGGAATCTGTGTCATTGCTGTGGAAGGTAGACTTGAAGGTGGAGGACATGAACTTGTTCACCCTTTCTGCCCTGATTGGTAAGTGGGACAGGGAATCTATACCTAAGTGGGTAGTTTGTGACCTAAACATATTATGCTAGTTCAGCATACTCCCTTCTTATTTAATGAAGCTGATTATTTGAATTTTTTCTAATTTAAAGGCATGAGATGCTAGAAGGTTTTACATAACTGTTGGGTTTCTTGAAATTTCTTAGTGGCTTATAGAAGATATTACTAAGCAAAATTTATTTAAAAAAAAAAAAAGCCTTGATAGTTGGTCAAGAAACTGAGATGTGTAGCTTTTTTATTTCCACGTGTGTTTAGTTCTAGAAACAGATTTATCTCTGGAACTTTGTAGGCGTTAGAGAGCTTCTTTGATTTAGGTAGGTTAAGTTAGAAAAGGAAAAATTTCCCTGAAACATGAGGAATGAACTTAGGGGTAGGTATAGGGAATAAAGAAAACTAGAATGAATGGAATGAGTAAGAAAGGAGAGTGAGGGCTGAAGTTGCCAGAGCTGAGAGCCAATGCAAATGTGGTTTCTGGATGTTAGGTGCTTCAGAGGTCCGACTAGACACACTGACCATCCTGGGAAGTGCTGAAACCTCCACTGTGGGTGTCCAGGGACTTGTGCTTGCCCTAGTGAAGTCAGTCACAGAGAAGATGCAGCCCTGCTGCAAAGCTCCTGACATCCCCACTCCTGTGCTCAGTCTCTCCATGCTCTCCATCACCTATCACAGCAGCATCCGCTCTCTGGAGGTAAAGCTTCTATGGGGAGGTGAAGTCGGATTGGTTTTTTCCTAGGCTAAAGAGCATTTCCCAGCCTTCTGAGTTTGTTGTAAAACATTTATAAGAAATATGATACCTTGTGTTCTTTTTGGCCTGGCTTGTTCTGTACATTTTTAACTCTTTATGGAACGTAAAATATACACAGAACTAAGGAGGATATTTGAACTTGTATGTATCCATACCCAGCTTCAGTAATTACCAACTTATGACCAGTTTGTTTCAGTTCTATGACCCACCAGTCGCCCCTGCCTCCTGCTCTGGGATTATTTTGAGGCAGATATATACCAGACATATAATTTCAACCCTAAATATTTCAGCATATATCTGAAAAATAAGAGGCTTTTTTTTTTTTCCTGGTGTTTTTTCGCTGAAGCACACAGCACATTAAAAGGCTGGAAGGGAGGGGTGTCTGGTGGGTTCACTTTGTGGAATATGTGACTCTTGATCTTGGGGTTAAAAGTTTGAGCCCCACGCTGGGTGTAAAGATTACTTAAATATAAAATAAAAAAAAAAAAGTCTGAAAGGGAACTGAAAATGGAGACCCTGGCAAGTTTTAAGAGGCTTTTCAAGATCTTTCTCCTCAGGGTACCAGGTGGATATGGGACCCTCTTAGGAGGGGAATGGAATGGAATATCTTTCTAATTGTCTTACTTCAGCTTCCTTTGGAAACTGAGGAGTTGTCTTTTCAGAGGCTGGAGCTCAAAGGCATTTTTCTGTTCTGTGATTTAAATTTTCTTTGTGTAACTATTCAGGATTGATTTCGTTTTTCAAGCTTACAAAGATTCCCTTCTTTGAAGCATAATTTCGTATGAGTCAATTGCTGTATTGACTTGTGTGGTCAGTTCTTTTTATACTTTTATTTAAGAATTAATTCAGGGATACCTGGCTAGCTCCATTGGTTGAGTGTCTGACCTTTTAGCTCAGGTTGTGATCTCATGGGATTGAGCCCCATGTCAGGCTCTGCACTCAGTGTGGAGTCTGCTTCATATTCTTTCTCCCTCTCCTGCCCCTTCCTGCTCATGTGTACCCTCTCTCTCTCCCTAAAATGAATAAAATCTTTAAAAAAAAAAGTATTAAATCAAGATGCAATTAATGCATAAAACATTTTTATTTTTTATTTTTTTTAAATTTTTATTTATTTATGATAGTCACACAGAGAGAGAGGCACAGAGACAGAGACATAGGCAGAGGGAGAAGCAGGCCCCATGCTCCGGGAGCCCGACGTGGGATTCGATCCCGGGTCTCCAGGATCACGCCCTGGGCCAAAGGCAGGCGCTAAACTGCTGCGCCACCCAGGGATCCCCATAAAACATTTTTAAATTGATTGTTGCAGTGGTTATTATCCAGAACATGGCCATTATAGAAAGGTATTTCATGAACAGAAACAAAAAGCCACATGACTTAATAAGTATTTACTGTATATAATTCATATCCTGTGGTTGATATTAAGAATCAACACACGCGGCCTCTACTCTCAGATAATTTAAAATCCAGTTGGGAACTCAAAAGTGTAAGTCCTCTTACATATAAATAAGACCTGAAAAAAAACCCAAAAACAAAACAAGTAAGAACTATTAGTTCTGTATATTCATGCTAGGGAAACAAGGCAAGGGAGTAATTAATGACTCAGGAAATGCTTCTGAATGGAAATGGTTCTTCACCCAGGTGTGCATGTACATAATAATAATCCCAGCCATCTCTCCTGTTTTGGGATATTGTAACTGACAGATCTTTTTCTCTTGTTCCCTGAAGGTTCAGTGTGGTACAGGGCTGACCTTACTTTGGAGCCCGCCAGATCACATGTACCTGTATCAGCATGTCTTGGCTACCCTACATTGCCGAGACCTACTAAGAGCCACTCTGTTTCCCGAGTCTGTTCCATTCCTTGCACTAGAGACTCCAGAGACTGTGTCTGAACTGGAAGGCCTTCTCCCTGAGCCATCTCCTCCAAAGCGGCTACTAAACCTAACACTAGAGGTGAACACAGCTAAGCTGACAGCTTTTGTAGCTGAGGACAAGTTCATTACCCTGGCTGCAGAGAGTGTGTCACTGAGCCGGCATGGGGGTTCACTACAGGCTTACTGCCCGGAGCTGGCTGCTGGCTTTGATGGTAATAGCATCTTCAACTTTAAGGAAGTGGAGGTACAGCTGTTACCTGAACTGGAGGAGATGATCCTCCACCGGAACCCTTTCCCTGTGCTGCAGACCCTCCGGAATCGTGTTTGGCTCCTCTCCTTGGGCTCAGTCTCGGTGGAGTTTCCTTATCAGTATGATTTCTCTCGAACTCTGGATGAGGCTGTGGGAGTTCAGAAATGGCTGAAGGGGTTGCATCGAGGAACTCATGCTCAGGCTTCTCCAAGCCCTGCCCCACTCCCACCTGATCTACTCTTAAAGGTTCAGCACTTCTCATGGGTTTTCCTTGATGACATTTTTGAGGTGAAACTTCGTGATAACTATGAACTAATGAAGGATGAAAGTAAGGAGAGTGCCAAAAGGCTGCAGTTGCTGGATGCCAAGGTGGCTGCCCTTCGGAAGCAACATGGGGAGTTATTGCCAGCCCGTAAAATTGAGGAGCTCTATGCCTCTTTGGAACATAAAAACATTGAAATTTACATTCAGCGCTCCCGTCGTCTCTATGGCAACACACCTATGCGCCGGGCACTGCTCACTTGGAGCGTGGCAGGGCTAGAGCTGGTAGCTCTGGCAGATGCCTCCTTCCATGGGCCTGAGCGTGTGGTAGAGCAAGTTCAAGAGCTTGATCCAGGCAGCCCTTTTCCTGCTGAAGGAGTAGATCTTGTCATTCAGTGGTGTCGTATGCTCAAGTGCAGTGTTAAGACGTTTTTGGGTAAGTAGTACTTGCTTATTTGCGGAGTGTGGTGTTTGCCCTCAGAGCTTCAGAAAGCTCTTTGAGTGACTACAGAGGAGTTCAGTTATATTGGGAACTGTGGTGGTTTTTGGATGAGTGGAGTGGGAGGTGGGCCCCTCTTCCTTTCTTTGTTCCAGAATTTCACCCTGAAACTGCTTGGCTACCGTAAAGGACAATTACCATAGTCATCTTCAGGGTTAGTGTGTCTCTTGGGTCTTGGTTTTATTCCCCTCACCATCTGCTCAGTGTCTCCATGCCCTTTTCCAGATTTTCTTCCAACTGCCAGATCTTGTTTTCTCAGTTGACCTTGTTAAATAGATGGGTAAAAGTAGTGGCAGGGAATGCTCGAGGCATGTTGAGACAGTCCTCTGAATAGCCAGCATATATCCTCCCTGTAATAACAGTTCGGATAAGAGATTATCCCCGGTACCTGTTTGAGATACGTGACTGGCGGCTGATGGGTCGACTTGTGGGCACCGAACAGAGTGGTCAGCCTTGCTCCCGGCGGCGTCAAATCTTGCACTTGGGGCTTCCATGGGGTAATGTGGCAGTAGAGAGGAACATGCCTCCACTCAAGTTCTACCACGACTTCCGCTGTGAGTAGAGGAGGGCAGCTGGTTTGGCCGGGGGATGTTGTGATGGCTGGGATGGGAGATGAGCTCAGGCCTGTTGGAGTGAAGAAAGAAGTTGTGTAACAGTTGTACCTTTTCCTCCTCTATCACAGCGGAAATCTTTCAGTACACAGTAGTATGGGGCCCATGCTGGGATCCAGCCTGGACACTGATTAGCCAGTCTGTGGACCTCTTGACCAAGCCTTCAGCTGACCCCAGCCCACCCTTGCCCTGGTGGGACAAGAGCCGTCTTCTGTTCCATGGGGACTGGCACATGGATATTGAACAGGCAAATCTGCACCAGTTGGCTACTGAGGTGAGAGGTTCCAGAGGAGTTGTTTTCTTATTAGGATGGTATGGTTGGGGCTTATAGCACATGGGGGGGGAAGAGAGAAAGGTACTCATTTGGGAGATTTGGGTGATACTCTTACCAGATCTCACCAAATTATTGGGGGTGGTTATAGGACCCGTACAACACCACAGAAAATATGCACTGGGAGTGGAGCCACCTGTCTTTTCATTGGAAACCTGGTCAGTTTGTGTTCAGGGGTGACTTGGATGTCAACGTGAGAACAGCTTCTAAGTGAGTGAAGTGATGGGTGGGGCCTCAATAGGGGTGAGGGACTCTGGTTGGAGGGAGAGGGGAAGAGCCAGAGGGTTGCAAGTGACCAGGACACTGAGGGCTGGGACTCTGTTGTGAGACAGGTATGATGACTGCTGTTTCCTTCACCTGCCTGACCTCTGCATGACACTGGACCTGCAATGGCTGTGCCATGGGAACCCCCATGATCACCACAGTGTTACTCTGCGGGCCCCAGAGTTTCTGCCAGAGGTGCCCTTGGGCCAGCTCCATGACTCCTACCGAGCATTCCGCTCTGAGAACCTCAATCTCTCCATCAAGATGGATCTGACCCGGCACAGTGGGAGTGAGCCTTGGGTCTGGGGCAGTGGGCGGAAGGGTTGGGAGGATGGGCTTAAACACCAAGGACTTCAACCTGACCCTCTAGGGAGGAGATAGGGAAAGCAAGGGAGGATTTGGATTAGGATGTTTTTTTGAGAGAGGGTTAGTGAAAACAAAGCTTAGATCTTTATTTTTTTTTATTTTTTTATTTTTTAAGATTTTTTTATTCATGAAAGACACAGAGAGAGAAAGGCAGAGACATAGGCAGAGGGAGAAACAGACTCCAGGCAGGGAGCCCAATGTGGGACTCGATCCTGAGACCACAGATCACGCCCTGAGCCAGGGGCAGGTGCTCAACCGCTGAGCCACCCAGGCGTCCCAGCTTAGATCTTTAGAAGGAAAAGGTGTTGGGGATGTTCTCTTGAGACTGAATGCTGCTTGGGTTTTCAAACCTCTAAAAGCTGAAGCTAGGGATAGATTTAACTTCATCTCTGTTTTAATCACAGATAGTGTCTTTTCCTCTTTTTTACAGCAATATCCCAGCCCCGGATTCTGTTATATAGTAGTACCCTGCGCTGGATGCAAAACTTCTGGGCAACTTGGACTAGTGTTACAAGGCCTATCTGTAGGGGAAAGCTCTTCAATAACCTGAAACCTAGCAAGAAGAAACTTGGCCAGCACTACAAACAGCTTTCCTATACTGCACTTTTTCCCCAGCTGCAGGTCAGGCTCTGACATCCTCAGTTCTGTTGTCCTTCCCTAGTTTTCTTGTTTTTTCTTATCTTAATCATCGCCCTGATGCCATTCATTGTTCAGAGCTAAGCTTTCTTGTTGCCAGGTGCATTATTGGGCCTCATTTGCCCAGCAACGGGGCATCCAGATTGAATGCAGTCAGGGCCATGTCTTCACTAGGGGAACTCAGCGACTTATACCTCAAGGTAAGCTCAAAGACTGCCTTTATTTCTCTTATCCTAATCCTTGCCCTCTTCACCCTTCTCCTTTCTCTTCCCTCTTTCTGTTCCACACTATTTTTCTTTTTTTTTTTTAATTTTTTTTAAAATTTTTATTTTATGATAGTCACAGAGAGAGAGAGAGAGGCAGAGACACAGGCAGAGGGAGAAGCAGGCTCCATGCACCGGGAGCCCGATATGGGATTCGATCCCGGGTCTCCAGGATCACGCCCTGGGCCAAAGGCAGGCGCCAAACCGCTGCGCCACCCAGGGATCCCCCACACTATTTTTCTGTACTGATCCTCATGGCCTCTGTATGCTTCCTTTTCTCAGCAGGCACAGTGATGCGGCGCCTCATCTCTGACTGGAGTGTGACCCAGATGGTTAGTGACCTAAGTCAGGTGACTGTTCACCTGATGGCTTCGCCCACTGAAGAGAATGCTGATCACTGCCTTGATCCCTTGGTAACAAAGACCCACCTACTGAGCCTGTCCTCCCTCACCTACCAGCGGCATAGCAATCGCACAGCTGAGGAGGTACCACCTGACGCAGTCTCTTTACTAGCTTTTTTGTATCAGTAGGTGTCTTAGTTTGCTCAGGCTGCCATAACGAAATACCAAAGAATGCGTGGCTTAAACAACAGAAATTTATTTCTCACAGTTCTGGAGGCTGGGAAGTCTAAGATTAAGGTGCCAGCAGAGTCATATTCTGGTGAGGGTTCTTTTCCTGGGTTGTAGACAGTTGCCTTTGCTTTGTCCTCACAAGGCAGGAAAACAGAGAGTATGCTCTCTGGTGTCTCTTCTTATAAGGGCACTAATCCCATCATAAGGGCCCTACCCTTGTGACCTCATATAAACCTAATTACCTCCCAAAAGCCACATCTCCAAATATTATCACATTGGGGATTATGGTCTTTTCCTTTTTTTAAAAAAAAGATTTTATTTATTCATGAGAGGCACTAAGAGTCAGAGACACAGGCAGAGGGAGAAGCAGGCTTCATGCAGGGAGCCTGATGTGGGACTTCATCCTGGGACTCCGGGATCACGCCCTGAGCCAAAGGCAGACGCTCAACCCCGCAGGCATCCTGGGGATTATGGTCTTAACATATGAATTTTGGCTGGCAGAACAATTCAGTCTATAGCAGTAGGTTTCAGGCTAAGTTCCGGGTAACGTTTCTAACTATATTCCAAGCATATGTATCATTACTATATGATGAACTCACTGTCAGCTGTACCAGTTGTCCCTCTTTTTGTTTTTTTTTTTTTAATAATCTTTTTATTTTTTTTTATGATAGTCACAGAGAGAGAGAGAGAGAGAGAGAGAGAGAGGGAGAGAGGGAGAGAGAGAGGCAGAGACACAGGCAGAGGGAGAAGCAGGCTCCATGCACCGGGAGCCCGACGTGGGATTCGATCCGGGGTCTCCAGAATCGCGCCCTGGGCCAAAGGCAGGCGCCAAACCGCTGCGCCACCCAGGGATCCCAGTTGTCCCTCTTTTTGAAAATTTTTTTTTTCGGGCAGCCCGGGTGTCTCAGCAGTTTAGCGCTGCCTTCAGCCCAGGGTGTGGTCCTGGAGACCTGGAATCGAGTCCCATGTCAGGCTCCCTGCATGGAGCCTGCTTCTCCCTCTGCCTGTGTCTGTACCTCTCTCTCTCTCTCTCTCTCTCTCTCTCTCTCTCTCTGTGATGCTCATGAATAAATAAATCTTAAAAAAAAAAAAAAGAAAATTCCTTTTCTCCCTCACCTTCTAAACATAGTCTCTTGCCCTTCAGGAAACTGAGTAAAACTTATTTCCGAGCACCTTATTTGATGTCTTTTTTTCCCCCAATTAAGGAAAGATTTTATGTTGAAATTATCTTTCTTCTTCTTCTTCCTTCTTTTTCCTTCTTCTTCTTCTTTCTTTTTTTTTTTTTTTTTTTTTTTTTTTTTTTTTTAGATTAAGTAGGCTTCATGCCCAAGGGGGTGGGGCTTGGACTCATGACTCCAAGATCAAGAGTCAAATGTTCAACCGACTGAGCCAGCTAGGTTACCCATTTGATGAAATTTTCTGAATCATGTAAAATACGGTAGATATAGTCTGAGTGTAATCTAATGCACTTTTTTAAAAAAATTTTTTTCACTTTTTTTTTAAAGATTTTATTTATTTATTCATGAGAGAGAGAAAAAGAGAGAGAGAGGCAGAGACACAGGCAGAGGGAGCAGGCTTCATGCAGGGAGCCCAAGGTGGGACTTGATCCTGGGTCTCCAGGATCATGCCCTTGGCTGAAGGCGGCGCTAAACCCCTGAGCCACCCGGGCTGCCCTCTAGTGCACATATTAAGACCACTTAGGTTTTTCTTTCTCCAGGGTCTTCTTGTCTCTCCCAGAACAGATTTCTTTCTTTTTTCTTTTTTCTTTTTTCTTTTTTTTTTTTTCCTTTGGGGAAGAGGGGGCAGAAGGAGAGGGAGAGAGAGAATCTTAAGCAGGTTCCATGCCCAGTGCAGAACCCAACTTTGGGCTCAGTCCCCTTTGATATCATGACCTGGCTAAAATCAAGAGCTGGATGCTTAACCAGCTGAACGACCCAGGTACCCCAAGAATAGATTTCTTATTCAACAAGGTGGTTTTCCTCCTCTACATTTATGGTCCAGGAACAATTGTGGGAATTTCCATGCTACCTCGTGGTTCTTTTCCTGTTTCTTAGGAGCTCTCTACTCGAGTTGGGGATCCTGCCTTTCATACACACCAGCTGCACTTGGTAGATTTACGGGCTTCCTGGACAACAACCAATCGGGACATTGCCTTTGGTTTATATGATGGCTATAAAAAGGCAGCAGTACTCAAACGTAATCTCTCTACTGAGGCCCTGAAGGGGTTAAAGATTGATCCCCAGATGCCAGCTAAAAAGCCAAAGCAGAGTGTTCTGACCAGTGCCCCAACCCCGCCTCCCGTCAGCACTCCCAGCTTTAGCGGACAGCCTGATAAGGGGTCATCAGGAGGTAAGCTGGGGAAGATGAGATTTCATCGGGTTAGTTGTAGGATATGTACATGGGATTGGACAGGAATTGGGAAGGACTATCACAGATGGTTTCATCTAGGTATAGAAATGAAAGCTATTGTTTTTCCATATTAAACCACCTCACTTTTTTTTTTTTTTTTAAAGATTTTACTTATTAGAGACAGTGCATGAGTGGAGAGGTGGGGCAGAGGGAGAGGGAAAAGCAGACTCCTCGATGAGCAGGGAGCCCTATGTGGGCTTGATCCCAGAACCCTGGGGCCAAAGGCTGACACTTAACTGACTGAGCTACCCAGGCACCTCAGGCCCCTTCAGTCTTACATAGCAGTGATACAGTTATTTAAAGGGTGTGATCCTGTGGCCAAGAGAAGAGGATCATGAAGGAGTGATGGGTCAAAACAGGATGAGTAAGGTAAAGAAAGGATTAAAGAATTGTTTAGTGGTTTGATGAATTAATTTGTTCAGTCAACATATATTGAGTACTTAACAGGCACAAAGCACTGTGCTAGGTTCAGTGAGAGATAAAATGATTGACATTCTACTTGCCGCAACAAGTTTATCATTGGATACGCTAAGATTAGCTCATTCATTCACTCACCACTCATTCATTCATAGATTCATTTTAGCTTATTGAGGGTTTATATATCAGACATAAACCTAGACATTAGGGATATAAAAATGAGGGGAAGCTCAGAAACTAGTAGGTAGACACGTAAATTATTATTTCATTATGAAAATGTTTTATAAGAATGTTCAAGAAGAAAGTATTTACTTATTTATTTTTATTTATTTACTTGAGAGAGGGTGCACAAGCAGGAGGAACAGCAGGCAGAAGCAGAGGGAGACAGAGACTCCCCACCAAGCAGGGAGCCCAATGCAGGGCTCGATCCCAGGACCCCAAGATCATGATCTTAGCCGAAGATAGATGCCCAACAGACTGAGCCACCCAGGCACCCCAAGAAGAAAGTAGTTAAATCAGCATAGGTAAATCTAGAAAGGTCTTCCCAGAAAAGATAATTGAGATAGGTATTAAAAGATGAATAAGAGTTAAACAAATAAGGAGAAAGGAGAGGGCATTTTAGGGAGAAGGAATAGTAAGTACAGAGGAACGCAGGTTATGGTGATTTTGAGAAAAGGTGAAAAGTGGTGTGTGTCACAAGTGAGAAATGAAAGCATAAGGAGAGAGTTCTTGACTGGAGTAAAAGAGGGAATGCAATCAGGGAAAGGTTTATTGATGAAGTACCATTTAAGCTGGACTTTGAAGGCTTAGTGTGATACGGTTTGAACATGTGGAAGTGGGAAGGAAGGACATTCAAGGCAGAGGGAGTATCCTGAATAGGAGTGAAGTTGGTAAAGGCCAGTACGTTCAAAGAAGAGCAGTCTTATTTCAGTTGGCATAAAGAGTAGCTGAGGTGAGGAGTGAGGGAAGATCCTGGAAAGGAAAGCTGCATGTAGACTATCAAAACCCATAAAAGGCTAAGGAGTTTTTGTCCTTACTCAGTAGATAGTGGTGAACTAACTAAAGGTTTTTGAATAGGGATGTGTCGTCATTAGACTTGACTTTTAGGAAGGTAAGTCTGGCAGTGCTGTGGAGGAGGACTGGAGGGGAAGAAACTGGAGGTAGAGGTATAAGAGGTATAAGGTAACTATAATAGTGTCCCAACAACATATAATGGAGGCGTGAACTTGGTAGAGGCAGTGGGAATGGAAATGAGGGGATGGATTAAAATGTTATTGCATGTATGAAATTTGACAACTAGTTGGAAGGAGTTAAAACAGTGAAAGCAGTAACGACTGAGGCTTTAAGCCTAGGACTGGCATGATGGTAACACTAATATCAGAAATAGGAGAACCAGAGGCTAGACAAGTTTGGGGAGGTATAGGGTTGTTGAGTTCAGATTTAGACATGCTGAGTGTGTGGCACAAGCAACACATCTAGGTAATGTCTAACAGCTGGAGATGAGGACCTAAAAGCTTAGTCCTAGAAATGAAGATTTTGGGAGTTTCAGCATAGAGCTAAGAGTTAACGCCAAGGAGATAATAATAGTTGCTTACTGTGTGGCAGATACTCTGCAAAATACTTCTCTGTGTTGTTGCAGTAAACTCCCTCAACAACCTTGTGAGACAGTTACTGTTACTTTACAGACAAGGAAACTGAGACAGGCTAAAGCAAGCTGCCAAAGGTCACAATCAAGTAACTGGCAGAGATAGGATCTTAAATATAAGTGGACTAGTCTGATTCTGGAGGCTGCTGTTAACCATAATACACTGTTAGTCTCATTAGAAGAAAGAGGAAGATGGGATCCCTGGGTGGCGCAGTGGTTTAGCTCCTGCCTTTGGCCCAGGGCGCGATCCTGGAGACCCAGGATCGAATCCCATGTCGGGCTCCCGGTGCATGGAGCCTGATTCTCCCTCTCCCTCTGCCTGTGTCTCTGCCTCTCTCTCTCTCTCTCTCTCTCTCTCTCTCTCTCTCTCTCTCTCCCTCTCCCCCTCTCCCTCTCTCTCTCCCTCTCTCTCTCTCTGTGACTATTATAAATAAATAAAAATTAAAAAAAAAAGAAGAAGAAGAAAGAGGAAGAGAAGGAACATGTCCAGGATAGACCTTAGGAGATACTTATTTCTGAGACCTGGGAGAAAAGGATTTAGAGGCATAATCAGAGGAAACAGTAGAGCCATGAAGACATTGAGGCACTGATGGTAAGGGAGTGGTTTCTTTTTTTCTTTTTTTATTTATGATAGTTACAGAGAGAGAGAGAGAGAGAGAGAGGTAGAGACACAGGCAGAGGGAGAAGCAGGCTCCATGCACCGGGAGCCCGATGTGGGACTCGATCCCGGGTCTCCAGGATCGCGCCCTGGGCCAAAGGCAGGCACCAAACCGCTGTACCACCCAGGGATCCCAAGGGAGTGGTTTCTTGTGAAAAGGAGTGGTCAACGAACAACATTTAAGAGGATATGAAATGAAAAACGTAAGGAACAAAATGAAATGAAAAAAAGATTCTAGAATAATTTAGAGCTTGATATACCTAAGAGAAAAAAATCCTACCACTTACATAGCATTTCTAAGTTTTTCTTGGGAATCTATTACTTTTGTTAAATTGAGGGGAAAATGAATTGATAACTTTTATTTTGTCCTCAGGGATCAAGGGGTAGAGTGAGTAGGTTGGAGTTGCAGGTTGCAGAATATGTTCTAGACATACTGAAGGAAGATCAGTTTGGCCCTAGATGTGTTCCCTATCCCTTTGAGATTATGACTTTTCCCCACTTCCTATTTCTCTGCCAGGTGCCTACATGTTGCAGAAGCTGATTGAAGAGACGGATAGGTTTGTAGTGTTCACAGAAGAGGAGTCAGGTGTGAGTGACCAGTTGTGTGGCATTGCTGCCTGCCAGACGGATGACATATATAACCGAAACTGCCTTATTGAGCTGGTTAACTGCCAGGTAACTTCTCTTTACCAGCACACCCCAGCATTGGGCTAGATCATAATGATAGGTGTTCACCTTCTCCCACCACCAAATAAGAATGGGCAGACAGAGCTCCAAAAAATTATTCCTTCCAGCAAGTGTCCAGGATAATCACTTTCATACCTAAAACCATACTGTTCACTCTGTAAGCCAGAATTAGGCCCATCTATAGTTATTGTTACAACGTTTTCACTAACTTTCTTATTTTCTCTGGTGGCCCTTGTGCTGTGATTCTGCTTCTGCCTACGGCTTAGATGGTTCTTCGTGGAGCAGAGACAGAAGGCTGTGTCATTGTATCAGCTGCCAAAGCTCAGCTGCTGCAGTGCCAACACCATCCAGCCTGGTATGGTGACACACTGAAGCAAAAGACATCTTGGACTTGCCTACTGGATGGCATGCAGTACTTTGCCACCACTGAAAGCAGCCCCACTGAGCAGGATGGCCGACAGCTGTGGTTAGAGGTTAGTCAGCGGGGTTGGGAAGGCCCGTTATATTCCCAGCTTTCCATATTTGGCTCCTTCCAGCAGACTACTTGAAAGATTTCTGATAGTACCTGTTGCTACCAGCTTAGCAGTATAATGAAGCTGGTAACACCTTGAATGTAGGAATTCTAGGTAGTCTCTGATCTGTGGTCTGTGAGCACAGAGTGCTTTTTTTTTTTTTTTAATCTCTTGCTATTCTTTTTCATTGCAAAGGGAACTCTCATTTCCCAGCACTAGAATAAAATGGGCCCCTGCTAATAAATCATATTAATCAATGGGCAGCCAATAAAACAGACAGTAAGTCTGAAGACTTTAGATAAATTCTTTCTATCCTTTCTCTGATTTCTCTTATGAAGATGGTTGATTGGTTGTTTCAGCAAAGCAGTAAGGTTGAATAGAAAAATTGCTTGTCTAGGAGTCAGGTTATGTGAGTTCTAATGCTATTATGTAGCCATAAGCCTTTGAGTGAATTACCATTATTTGTAAAATTGAGTTAATACTTCCCTCTCACAGGATTGTTGAAAGGATCAGTGAGAGAGTGCTTTGAAAATATAAAGCTTGGGGATCCCTGGGTGGCTCAGTGGTTTAGCACCTGCCTTTGGCCCAGGGCGCGATCCTGGAGTCCTGGGATCGAGTCCCACGTCGGGCTTCCAGCATGGAGCCTGCTTCTCCCTCTGCCTGTGTCTCTGCCTCTCTCTTTCTATGTCTATCATGAATAAATAAATAAAATCTTTAAAAAGAAAAATATAAAGCTTCATTTAGAAGGAAAATAATCATTCCATTTTTAAAAAGTTATGTCAGGGGAGGTCTCACTGTGTGTCAAGATAATGTTTTGTTAGATGGTGAAATTGTGAGCAGTTGGCAGGGACTAGACTAGATTTTCTTTCGTTTCAGCTTAGTAAAACTGAATTTGCATTATAATTTCTAGGATATAATATCAGAATTATTGGGAGATCTAATAGTTTATAAAATGTATCTAGCAAATAATTCTGCATTGTTACTACTTGCACGGGTGTGAAGTGTCCACATTGTGCTGGGCCTGGTACACCCAAATGAGTTACTGATCCAGCTACATCTGTTAAACACCAATATGATAACTTCATTTGCCACTATACTCAATGGGGAAAAAGCTAATCCTACTCTTCCCTCTTCCTTGCCTGGTATTTCTTAACTCCAACAACCTTAAGGCTCAATCCAAGCAACCTCAGGTGTAATTACATACAAGGTAATCATTTAATCAGATGTTAAGCAAGTAAGGGTCAGGTTATTGGTAATATGAGAGGTCATATTACAGCTGTGGTTCAAGCAAGCCCTACTCTTTATCAGTAGACTCAGGAGGTAGGCACAGAAGATATTAACTATTAAAGCAGAGGTAGGCAGGATGAGCTATGTAAGATCTGACTAGCATTTTCTGGGCCTCTGCTTCTTTTAGCCATGCCTTCTTTTGCATGTGAACCTCTTTTCTCCCCCCCCCCCCCTCAGGCTGTGATACTAGCATTAGAGTAAATGTCTTTGGATTAGGTGGGAGGGACTTTTTGTTGTGTTTTGTTTTTTTTTTTTAGATTTTATTTATTTGATAGAGAGGGAGTGTGCACATGTGTGGGTGCAGGGGTAAGGGTAAGGGGAGAGGAAGAGAGAATCTCGAGCCGACTCCACACTGAGTGTAGAACCCAATGTGGGGCGCAATCCCAAGACCCTGAAATCATGACCTGAGCTGAAACCATGAGTTGGTTACTTAATCAAATGAGCCACCCAGGCGCCCTGATATTAGCCACTTTGGTGTGAAGTGGTTTTGATTTGCATTACCCTGATGATGAGTGACGTTGAGCATCTTTTCAAGTGTCTGTTAGCTATCTTTATGTCTTTTTTTGAAAAATGTCTACTCAGGTCCTCTGCCCATTTTTAAACTGGATTAATTTTTTTTTTTGGTGTTGAGTTGTAGGAGTTCCTCATGTATTATTTGCAAGTATCTTCTCCCATTCAGTAGGTGGCCTTTGCATCTTGCTTATGGTTTCCTTCACTGAGTTGGGAGGGGACTTTGATCTTGCCTTTTCTATATGAATTTTTTTGTGACTTGGCAGATTTGCTTTTGGCCTTCCAAACATATTACTCATTCTATTATTCATTTTGACTTCAACTTGGCAGAGTCAAAAGAATTCATTTCCTTTACCCCATGGCAACAATATCAGAGTGGTTGTCTAAAGATAGAAAACAGCAAGAACACAAACACATAAATAATGTGGGGGGTGGGAAAGTCATTGTTTTCAATGAAATTTTTTGTGCTTGACATGATTTGATTTTTTCCCCTAATTTTTAAAATTGTAAATACATGTAGTATATTTTATACATATATAAGTACGTATATGGTAAAACACATATGAAATTTACATATCCATATAAATATATATAGTAAAATATAACATTTACTGTTTTAACTATTTGTTTTTAAAAGATTTTATTTATTCATGAGAGACACAAAGAGAGAGAAGCAGAGGCATAGGCAGAAGGAGAAGCAGGCTCCATGTAGGGAGCCTGATGTGGGACTTGATCCTGGGATGCCAGGATCACACCCTGGGCCAAAGGCAGGCGCTCCTCTGCTGAGCCATGCAGGCGTCCCTGTTTTAACCATTTTTAAGTGTAAAGTTTATTAGTATTCAGTACATTCATAATGTTGTTCAACCATCAGTGCCATCCATCTCCATGACTTTTAAGATTTTATTTATTTATTCATGAGAAACAGAGAGAGAAGCAGAGACAGAGGCAGAGGGAGAAGCAGGCTCCATGCAGGGAGCCCGATGTGGGACTTGGTCCCAGGTCTCCAGGATCAGGCCCTGGGCTGAAGGTGGCACTAAACTGCTGAGCCACCTAGGCTGCCAGGATTTGATTTTAATCTAGCTTCCCTTTCTTGCCTCAGGCCTACAGGTCTGGTAAAATGTGCATGTAACTCATTTGGCTTTGAAGAATTTGGGTGGTTTAGGCCAAGAGAGAGTCATGTATGTCTTCTACCCTGGGAGACCCTTCAAGCTATTCCAGGCAGTAGAAATTTGGATGGTAAGTATAACTACTTGTATCTATGACCCAGTTGGCCAGGAGTTAAAGGTACCTGTATCTCTGTCTTCAGGTAAAGAATATTGAGGAGCACCGGCAGCGTAGTCTGGATTCTGTGCAGGAGCTGATGGAGAGCGGGCAGGCAGTGGGAGGCATGGTTACCACGACCACAGGTCAGTTCTCCCTTATTCCCCATCACGTGTATCTTCTTATGTGCTCTTAAGATTAACATATGCTGGAGTAGGACCATTTTGTGTTAGGCTAGGTTGAAAGCAAGTGTTTGGAGTTCTCTCGACATCACACGTAGCTGAAGGCTATTACAATACTGCTATTGAGAATGTCTTTCTCTTTCCCACCTCTTCCCAGATTGGAACCAGCCAGCTGAGGCGCAACAAGCCCAGCAAGTCCAGCGGATCATTTCACGCTGTAGCTGCCGAATGTACTATATTAGTTACAGCCATGACATTGATCCTGAACTAGCAACTCAGATTAAGCCACCTGAGGTCCATGAGAACCAGGAAAAGGAAGATCTCCTAAAGAAACACGAAGGTATTTAGGGCTTGAAAGGCTTTTAGAAGGGAACTAGGGAACTCGTGTTATTTCCTTAGTGGTTTTGAGTTAGTAGTGTTATTAGAAGTCCCACTGTGGACTGGGCATTAACATTTTCACTTTGCTCTACGTTATGTAAGTTTTCCCATAAGACAATAAACTGTACTCTTGGAGGGAAACTGGGGTAAATTGGTATTGTTTGATTCTAAAATAAGCAAACATATTTTCTACCCATGAGGATCTCTCACTGATCCATTTCTATGGGGTTAACTAACAGGAGTGGTTCCAAATATGGGTTAGAAGGTGGGGTAGATAGAAACTTGAGTTTCTTACTTAGCTGCTAACAATTACATAGGGGCTGTGGATACCTTCACCCTTATTCATCACGAGCTGGAAATCTCTACCAACCCAGCTCAGTATGCTATGATCCTGGACATTGTCAACAACCTGCTGCTTCACGTAGAACCCAAGCGGAAGGTGAGCAATGTGCCCCTGTAGAATGCCAGTTAGCCATAGGAACCCATTGACCTTGTGCTTTATTTGGCGTCCAGTAAGAAAAACCATGCTTCAAATTGAAAAAAGGACCTTGGGGTTGGTACATCCTGTTAGTCAACAGCAGCCATTGAAATTTCACTTATCTAGGAAAGGTCTGAGTGTTCCGAAGACTATAGAGCTTGTTTACTTTTTTTTTTTTGGTTAGTTCTCTACTCAGTCACTTCAATATCTCTAAGAACAGTAACTAGTTCCCACTATTACCTCCATCCCTACCCTGTGGGACTGGCTTACTGTGAAATTTTTACTACTTCTGCATTGACCTACCCCTTACACTTGTTACTAATGGTGACAGATACAGGTAAGCTTTCCAGAAGAGATCCCTATTCCTTGTTTCTTTCTCTGTTTCACTTTACTGCAAGACTTGTCTATTAAAAAATCTTGTTCATCTCCTTTTCCATTCCTTCAGGAACACAGTGAGAAGAAGCAGCGGGTCAGGTTCCAGCTTGAGATATCTAGCAATCCTGAGGAACAACGTAGCAGCATATTACATTTGCAGGAGGCTGTGCGGCAGCATGTGGCCCAGATACGGCAGCTGGAAAAGCAGATCTATTCTATCATGAAGGTAGTTATCAGGGCAGTCTGAGAGGGTGTTCTCCTAGGACAAGAGAGATCTCCTCTCAGTCTCTCCTGTCCTGGTTCCCTAGTCTTTGCAGGATGACAGCAAGAATGAGAACCTGCTTGACCTGAACCAAAAGCTCCAGTTGCAGCTAAACCAGGAGAAGGCTAGCCTACAGCTGGAAAGTGAAGAGCTTAATATCCTCATCAGGTGCCACAGCATTCTTTCTCTTTTTCCAGAACGCCAGCTAGGATTGATTTCTCTTCTTTGCCCATGTTATGATAGTCTTTAGGTCTAGTGTGCATTATCAAAGGCTGATGTAGATTTGGGCAGTTCCTGAATGAGTCTTGCTGGACTTGGCCAAGAATTGAGAACAGGAGAGCCCTTCCTTTGTCTTCTTATTAGAGTACCTCCTGGGAAAGGGGAAAATCAGATGGTTTGGAAAGATCACTTTTGTGGCCTTGCAACTATGCAGGTGAACTGAAAATAAAATGCCTTTTTTTTTTTTTTTTTAAGATTTATTTATTCATGACAGTCAGAGAGAGAGAGACAGAGACATAGGCAGAGGGAGAAGCAGGCTCCCTGTGGGGAGCCTGAAGTGAGACTTGATCCCAGGACCCCAGGATCATGACCTGAGCCAAAGGCAGACCCCCAACAACTGAGCCACCCAAGTGTCTCTGAAAATAAAATGTCTTGAAGTTGATCAGTAAGGAACACAATTGCAGATACAATTGTAGGGGTTAACAGGCAGAGACTACTTTATTAGCTATGGGGAGCACCTGGCTGGCTCAGTGGAGCGTGTGACTCTTGATCTCAGGATCATGAGTTCAAGTCTCACATTAGGCATAGAGCATACTTAAAAAAAAAAATGAACAAAAAACAAAACAAACAAAAAAACAAAACAGCAGCAGCTACAGAACTAAAAGATGGAACTTATTCTTCCAGGCCCCAGCTGTGAGAAGCAATGAATCCAGTGAAAAAAATTTAGGGAATACCTTTTCCAAAATAGGTCCGTTTCTGGGTTTATCTCATTCCACTCTACCCCCGACCCAAATGCTGTTACCCTTATTGGCTTTGGCCCTCCTGTTCATTTATAGGTGTTTTAAGGACTTCCAGTTGCAGCAGGCCAATAAGATGGAGTTGCGAAAGCAACAAGAAGATGTGAGTGTGGTCCGTCGCACTGAGTTCTACTTTGCTCAGGCACGATGGCGCTTGACAGAGGAAGATGGACAGCTAGGAATTGCTGAACTGGAGCTGCAGCGGTTCCTCTACAGCAAGGTATCGGGTATATATGGTCATACAAAAGCAGCATATTGAGAGGCATTGATCTATCTCAGGAGTCTTAACTTACAAAAAGAGATACAAAGAGGCTAATGATGATATTAATGATAGAGACATGAGCACAGATCCCTCTTAGACACAACTGTTTATACTATAAAACAATACAGATACGGATGAGTTTGAACAAATGCTTCTTTCATCGAATAAGATTATCCCTAGAAATATGGCCCAGAGGGAAGTAATCGTCCAACTTGGAATAGAATTTTTTTTTTTAAGATTTTATTTATTCATGAGAGACACAGAGAGAGAGAGAGGCAGAGACACAGGCAGAGGGAGAAGCAGACTCCATGCAGGGAGCCCGACGTGGGACTCGATCCCGGGTCTCCAGGATCACACCCTGGACTAAAGGTGGCGCTAAACCGCCGAGCCACCCGGGCTACCCTGGAATAGAATTATTAATTCTATACTGACATTCAGCTTTCCTGCAATAAGTAACCAATGGCATGGAGAAGACATGATTCATTATTCTGTACCCTTTCCCTCTGGGAGTTTGGAAATATGTGAGACTATTTTTGAATATCACAGTGACTGGGAAGTACTATTGGCATTTAGTGGCCTTGCCAGTAGTGCCCACGAGAAACTCTGGATTAAAGAGTGAATTGATTGTATGGAATTGAAAGAGATACTAAAGGTTGGGATTAAACGTATGGAGAACCTGAAAACAGAACATGTAGCAATCCTCTAGCAAGCTCCTGATAAAAGGCTTTTCTATAGTATGTGTGTGTGTGGAAATCTGTCTTTATAGGTGAATAAGTCTGATGACACAGCAGAACATCTTCTGGAGTTGGGCTGGTTCACTATGAACAACCTCCTCCCCAATGCAGTTTATAAGGCAAGTCTTATTTCCTCATTCCTATCCCATTCTCATGCTTCCTAACATAGGGCATTTTTAAGATTTTTTTTATTTTAGAGAGAGAGAGAGTGAGCATGAGTGAGGGAAGGGGCAGAGTGAGAAGAAAAGAGAGAATCCTAAGCGGACTCTGTGCTCAGCATGGAGCCCAATGTGGAGCTTGATCTCAGCCCTGAGATCATGACCTGAGCTGAAATCAAGAGTTAGATGCTTAGCTGATTGAGCCACCCAGGCGCTCCCTAACACAGGGGCCCATTTGTAAGGGCCCTTCCACATAATCCAATATGGGAAACAGTGTGGTGATCTGAGAGGTTGAACGTTTGTCCAGCTTACCAAGACTATTGCTTTTCCTTTTAGTCTGCATGGATTTGTGGGTTGATTTATCACTCTTTATCCTACAGGTAGTCCTGCGGCCCCAGAGTTCCTGCCAGTCTGGGCGACAGCTCGCCCTCCGCCTCTTCAGCAAAGTCCGGCCCCCTGTTGGGGGTATTTCTGTTAAGGAACACTTTGAGGTTAATATATAGTCCTTTGGGGATCCAGAAACAAAGGGCACTCAAAAGCTGTCTGTGTGTTGTTATACTATGTTAGGGGTAGGTAAACTGAGGGATGATATCTGAGCTTAATTGCTTCTTCAGCCTTTTTCCTCTTTAGGTAAATGTGGTGCCTCTCACCATCCAGCTGACACACCAGTTCTTTCATAGAATAATGGGCTTTTTCTTTCCTGGCCGAAGTGTGGAAGATGATGAGGTTGGTGATGAAGAAGATAAGTCCAAACTGGTGACTACTGGTGAGAACTTTTATGGTGGAGCTCCAGAAGACTGGGGTAGTGGCCCCAGAGATAGCTAAAGCTTCAAAAAGAGGATAGCAGCTGGTATGCTTGCTTTTTCATAGGAATACCAGTGGTGAAGCCTCGGCAGCTGATTGCTACAGATGATGCAGCACCACTGGGCCCTGGGAAGGGTGTGGCACAAGGCTTAAACCGGAGTTCTGGTGTCAGAAGATCATTTCGGAAAGTACCTGAGGTACCAGACATGCCCCTGATCATGGAGAGATGGCCAGATGGGGATGTCTTCAGTCTTTTCCAGGGATGAAAGGAGATGGAGACATCTCCTGATGGTTTCAGGGACTCACACTCCTTTCCTGCCTCTCTTAGCACCCTGTGGATGATATTGACAAGATGAAAGAGCGAGCTGCCATGAACAACTCCTTCATCTACATAAAGATTCCACAGGTTCCTCTGTGTGTCAGCTACAAGGTCTGTTCCTCCCTAGTACTTTCTAGAACAGGGTGGGAAGGGAGCCAGATAAGATCAGAGATTAAAGTTAGGCATGGACAATCTAGTTTGTGAAGTTGGTCTATGGGTGGTAATCTGCTATTCCCTCTGCTGCCTTCAGGAGTCAGTACCATTACAGGATGAGGTAAGGGGAATCAGTATCTGTAAATTGCTGCTGTAGGAAAGTACTAGACTTCCGACTCAAGTACTAGCTTGAACTAAAAATGGCAGCTAATGTATCTCTTCATTCTTCTTTTCTCTGTCCTCTTCCCCTCCTTCTCTTGCAGGGTGAGAAAAACAGTGTGGATTGGGGTGACCTTAACCTGGTGCTGCCCTGTCTGGAGTACCATAACAACACATGGACATGGCTAGACTTTGCCATGGCTGTCAAGAGGGACAGCCGCAAAGCCCTAGTTGCCCAGGTATCCCGGCAGAATTCATGGCTCTTTGGTTAGCAGGGGCTGGCAAACAGATCCTGTGCTCAGGAGCATTTCATTGTAGGACATATGTAGGACAAGCAGCCTTGGGAATGGGCGGGTGAATGAAGTGAGATGCCCTCTCCATGACTTTGGTCAGATGACTAAATTAAATGTTTACTGAGTGTTTCATATATGTTAACTACTGTTGATTTTTAGGAAACTGAGGGCTGATGCAACTTCAGGTTCAGAATGGGTTCTAATTAGACTGTAAGCTTCTTAACAGCAGAGATAATTTTATAATTTGAATTGCCCCATGTGTCTTCATGTAAGCTTAATAAATCTTTATTGATTTGGTTCACATTGATTTATTCTGCTTATCCCACTAACGCTTCCCTTCTCCTAACTTATCAGGTAATCAAAGAGAAGCTAAGGCTGAAGCCTGCAACAGGGTCTGAGGTCCGAGGAAAGCTAGAAACTAAATCAGACCTCAACATGCAGCAGCAAGAAGAGGAGGAGAAAGCCCGGCTCCTCATCGGTTTAAGTGTGGGCAACAAGAACCCTGGCAAGAAGTCCATCTTTGGCAGGCGCAAGTGATCCAGCATCCAAGAGTGGCTGCAGTACAGGATCTGACTCTGGCTCAGGCCCCAGGGACTTGTGGGGTGGGAGGCGTCTCCCTTCACCTATCAGGATTTGGTGGGGGGCGGGTTGGGAGACCACGGGGTACTGTGGAGAGAGGCACTGCTCTTTTAACAGCTGGCCTGTTCCCTGCAGAATACGGTGGATAATAATGCTGAGTTCTACCTCACACTGATCAGCAGGCCAAGGGCCAGAGGCATCAAGAGAGCAAGACCCAGGGAATGGGCCCAGGATCAGGATCTGGTTCCCTTGGGGGCAACTGAAAGGGTGGGAGGGACAGTTCTGATCAAGTGTGATAAATTTTTATAGACCTATATATAAATACATACATATATATTTCTAAGTGTAACTGCTCTCCCTCTGTGCTGGAAACTTGAAGGGAGGAGCTGATCTGTTCCTCATTTCACCGCCTTGTATGAGAGGTATTAGGGTTCTGGGGGGAAATCAGCCCCTTTTCAATCTGTGCCAAGTTCACTTGGGAAGATGGCAATAGGTGCCAGGGCTGGCCATGGGTCCCCTTGGGGTATGTCCTGGAGAATGGAAAGAAAAAGCGAAAAATATATTTAAAGTTGTTTTTGTTTTTTTTTTTTTTGTTTTGTTTTATTTTTTTGGTGTGTTAAGTGCATATGGGTTCAACCTGTGTCCGTCCCTCCCCATCAACCCAAGACATATCCTTTAGCTGTTACTCTGAGGATGGCCTCTTCCCTCCTGTGAAACTATATCATGGATACTTCCCAGCTCTGGTTTGACGCTGGCCCCCTAATAGGTCTCTGCACATTTTAGTGCTGGCTATGAGCCTATTCATAACTGGGGTGGGGGTGGGGGATAGGATTTGAGGATAAGAGTGGGGTTAGGCTGCAGCAATTTGCATCTCTAGTCATGAACAGCAAGGAAGAGGCGGGGCTCATGTGTAATGTAGCATAAGGGGAGGAATTGCTTATGTAACAGCAGATTTAGCAGGAGAAGAGAGGAAGCAGAGGCTTTGAATGGGAACAGTGAGCTGTCGGCAGGGGCAACATGCCCCGGTGGCTGCTTCTCATAAGGTAGGCTGTGGGGCTCTGGCAGCCTATTTAGGGGAGGTGAAGGGGCATGGGCTTAAGGCCTAGGAACTGACTGGTGCGGAGAATGTTAGTGATGCCCATAGTGGAGGTGGAACAGGAGGCTATGCTGTGAAAATATCCCAACCCCATAGTAAGAGGCACAGGCTGAATTTCTGATGCCTCAAAGGGAAAGTGTCCAAATACTGCTTTCCTACAGGATTTGAATCATATCCAGGAAATCTAGGCCTTGGCCTAAAGCAAGAGCAATAGCAAATTTGCCTGGTGCTCAAAAACATATCTCTAAGATTGGGATTTGAGGGTATACCTTCTAAGATGGGCAGAACTTGTAATGCCTCAAGGGCAGAGGTTTAGAGTGGCTCCCTTGGTTCTTAGCAGGGTGGCAACATCCAGGGTGCCTGGGTCCGAGGCTGGAAGAGCCTCTGGTCAGGTGTGGGGACTACCAGGTCAGGTCTGGAAAAGTTGTGGGGACTACGGAGACACCAGGAACCCCCGGAGCCGGCCCCATTGCTAATAGAGAAGTCTCTGTCTGAGTGGCCAGTGCCTCAGTTCGTCAACCTTTTTCTGCCGGAGTTTCCCATTAGGCCCCTGAGGGGGCATCACCAGCTGAAGGTAGGTCAGTCCCTGGAAGGGGTATCAGTCTTGGGGGGGAGATATCTAGAAGTGGCTAGAGTTTCAACAGCCCTACTCCATTTCTCTACAGATTTTAGGCCTTGTGGCTAAAGGCTCCTTTGGAACAGTCCTCAAAGTGCTAGATTGTGGCCAGAAAGCAGTATTTGCAGTGAAGGTAGGGATCCAGGTACTCTTCCACATCATTCTCTAGTCCCTGCCTCCAATCTTGATTTTAGAAAGGTATGGTGAGCATAACCTATAGGAGTCATCACTCCTCTCCTTTTATAGGTGGTGCCTAAGGTAAAGGTCCTACAGAGGGACATCCTGAGGCAATGCAAAGAGGAAGTTAGCATCCAGGTATGCACAGAGCCCAGGAATGGATCCTAGGAAGAACTAAACCGCAGGTGGAGAAAGCACCTTTCCGGTCCAACTGTCCTGCTCTTCCTGGTTCTGTCCCCTCCCTCTGCTTCAACCAAAGTAGATCCTGGGAATAGTAGTTATCAGTTAATTCTAGGTCCTTCCATGTCCAGTGTGTCCCTCCAGCATGTCTTAGGTGTTTCTCAGTATCCTGCTGGTTTTGGGATTTAGTTCACCTGAACCAAGAGGTGGGGCAGCAGCTCCTTTTCTGCACAACTAGGTAAATCCTGACTTCTTGGCCGCCTTGATCCCCAATGACCTTTTTCCTCCGTAACTTCCTGTTTTCTTCATTCCTAGCGACAGATCAAGCATCCTTTTGTACACAGTTTGGGGGACAGCTGGCAGGGAAAACGGCACCTCTTCATTAGTGAGTGACTGGTTTCTCCTCATTCCCAAGAGTCCTTCTGTTGTACTCTCCACCTGAGATTACCCATCCCTTTGGCTTGTTCTCCCTTTGCACTGTTTTCCTTCTCAAAGCACTTTTCTCTCTCAAAGGGAGAAGGAACAATAGGTGGCATGAGTTTGGGCAAGAGGCCTAAAATAAAATGCTTTGAGCCCAGACACAGTAACCCTCTAATATTGCCTAGACTTCTGGTACTTTGCAGTGTGCAGCTACTGCAGTACAGATCTGTACTCCCTCTGGTCCTCTGTTGGCTGCTTTGCTGAGGCTTCCATCCGCCTCTTTGCTGCTGAACTGGTTCTGGTGCTGTGTAAGTGAAACAGGAATGGTAATGGAAATGAGGGAAGAATTAAGAGGGAGGGGCATAGAGAACTGATATTAACCCTGGAGGTCAAAGAACAAGGATAAGAATGCGATGGGAACTATTAGGGAATCTGGAAACATAGAAGAGCTTTAGCACACCCCATACTTGCTGTCATCCACAGGTTACCTCCATGACTTGGGCATTATCCATCGAGATGTGAAGGTAGAGTTATGTGCTTTTTTTCTTTATCTAAAGTGGGGCCTCAGTAAGAAGTTTCAACAGATCTAAGTAGGCGGGGGGGGGGGGGGGGGAGCTGAGAACAGTTGACCTTAGGGCCCTCATAAGCCACTAAGGATTTGGGCAAGGGCCATCAAAGTATAGGCTTGAATGCTGAATAGGGCATCTTTCTCAGCTGGGAGGTAGGTATACATGATGAAAGAGGGTTGAAAGGAAGAGGATGACTGACTAATAACTTCTCACCTGTGATTTTTCAGATGGAGAATATCCTTCTGGATGAACAAGGTAAGTCCTTTTCTTTTCCTAGCCCCAGAATGAGAGGTACCCTCAGTTTGGGAATAAGTCATGGCTGATAAGGGGAGGAACAGAGTGGTGCTGTTGCCTTATCTTTCACAGGCCATCTGAAACTGACAGATTTTGGTCTGTCTCGCCACCTACCCCAGGGAGCCCGAGCCTATACTATTTGTGGCACTCTTCAGTACATGGGTGAGAGAGGGGCTAAAGCTGGTGGGTAAGCATTGGTTGGAGGATAGCCAATTGATACCAGTGACAACTGTCCTTCAAATCTAGCCCCAGAGGTGCTGAGTGGAGGGCCTTACAACCATGCTGCTGATTGGTGGTCCCTGGGTGTCTTGCTTTTCTCTCTGGCAACTGGGAAGGTGAGAGAATGGTAGGGATGTCGGGCAAAGAGAGAGGCTTTTCCCTGTAGTGGGAAGAAGACCTTAGGAAATCTTGCCTTATTCCTGCCAAGCAGTGATACGTGCCCCCCCCCCCCTTAACTCAGTTCCCAGTGGCTGCAGAGAGAGATCATGTGGCCATGTTGGCAAGTGTGACCTACTATGATTCTGAGATCCCATCTTCTCTTAACCAGGGGCTCTCACTCCTGCTCCATGAGGTAAGGGTGAACACAGTTTTCCTTCTTGGCTACCAAACCATTCATTCTCTCCTTCCCTATTGCTGAAGTGATATTTCCCCATTCCTCTAATAATCTGGATGGGGTGGGGGTGTGTTCCATTTTGATCAAGTACTACCCTCACCACTTACCCTCTAAACAGCACTTCAGATTTGACTTCTGAGTTCCTCATCCTTCAAGTATCCTCCCCATCCATAACAGATCACTTCCGAAAGAAGGCGAGTGTCACTCCTACCAGTCAATACAGCACCTTTTTATTCCCACCTTTGCCCCCAAATTAGTCTGGTTCTCTCTCTTTCAAATCCTTTTTTGGATTCTTCTTCCTGCCCTCCACAGCTCTGTGAACTTCTTCTCCAGTTTTCTGTTTAGCCCCCTTCCCATTCCAGTCCCTCATCCTTCATTTCTATTTGCCTTCAGCTCTTATGCCAGAATCCCCTCCATCGACTACGTTACTTGCATCACTTCCAGGTCCACCCTTTCTTTCGGGGTGTGGCCTTTGACCCAGAGCTCCTACGGAAGCAGCCAATGAACTTTGTCATGGAGACACAAGCTACTCAGCCCACTCCATCGGAATCCATGCTTTTCAAGGATTTTGACTGTAACCTGGAGTCCTTCCTGAACCATCCCAGCCTTGCTTGAGCCCCTCTACTGTAGATTGGGGCCCATCTGGGAACCTGAGGATTTCTCCATTGCCAACTTAGTATGACTACTTTAATGATCCAGTTACCATTCTGTTCTACTTATTGGACCAGAGTTCAAATCTTGGACATTCTGCTATTGGCAGCCACAATGGCCCTATCCCTCCCCACCCTCTAATACAACCCAGCTCTCTTTTTTTAGTATATGTGCTGCCGAAGCGAGCACAACAACCCAGCTCTCAATTCAACATCTCAGAGTGTTGACCTTTTCCTTTGCTTCATTTCTCCAGTGCTCATACCCTGAAGCTTTCAGTCAGAGGCTTATTCTACTTTTCCCTTTCCAAGTTTCTCTGCCATATTTCCTTTCTTTATTTTTCTTTATATAGGGGAGGGGTAAAGGGAGACCAAGAATCTTAAGCAGGCTCCATGCCCAGCTCAGAGCCAAGAACTTGGGGCTCATCTCACAACCCTGAGATTATGACCTAAGATGAAATCAGGAGTCATATGCTTAACTGACTGAGGCACCCAGGTGCCCCTGCCATATTTCTTTTTTTTTTTAATTTCTTTTTTTAAGGATTTTATTTATTCATAAGAGACACAGAGAGAGAGAGAGAGAGGCAGAGACACAGGCAAAGGGAGAAGCAGGCTCCACGCAGGGAGCCCAATGTAGGACTCGATCCTTGGACTCCAGGATCACACCCTGGGCTGAAGGCAGGTGCTAAACCGCTGAGCCACCCAGGGATCCCCACATTTCCTTTCTTGAGCAATAATGATACTTCATGGGGTCTCAAGGTGCTATTTATGTGTTTAATAGGCTTGTTGGAAACAGTATGAATGTTTTTCAAACGTCTCAAAAGCTGGCATTTTAACCCCTAAATATGCATTTTAACCCCTCTCTCTCTGTCTCTCTCATGAATAAATAAATAAAATCTTAAAAAAAAAAAAGAACAAAGTTCTTAAATTGTTCATTTCCCTACAGAGCCTAGGATTCAGTTTCTTTTTTTTTCTTCTAAGATTGTATTTATTGGGCAGCCCTGGTGGCTCAGTAGTTTAGCGCCACCTTCAGCCCAGGGCCTGATCCTGGAGACCTGGGATCCTGGATCGGGCTCCCTGCATGGAGCCTGCTTCTCCCTCTGCCTCTCTCTCCTCTCTGTGTATTCTCATGAATAAATAAATAAAATCTTAAAAAAAAATTGTATCTATTTATTCATGAGAGAGGCAGAGACATAGGCAGAGGGAAAGGCAGGTTCCCTCCGGGAAGCCTGCTGTGGGACTCAATCCCAGGACCCTGGGATCATGACCTAAGCCAAATGAAGGTAGACGCTCAACCGCTGAGTCACCCGGGTGTCCCTAGGATTCAGTTTCTGATGGGCAAACCAAGAGATTAAGAGGCATGACATCAATCTTAAGATTTAAGGTTAGATGTATTTCAAAAACCTTTTCCTTTAGTAAGGAAAATCATCTGGACCTTACGTTTATATACATTTCTGGCCTTTAGGACTTTTCATTATTCTTTAACTTCTCAAAACCTTCATTTTTTAAAGAACAATTTATTTGTATTTAAGTAATCTCTATATCCAATGTGGGGCTCAAACTCGACCCAAGATCAAGAGTTTCATGCTTTTCTGAGCCAGCCAGGTGCCCCTCAAAATCTTCATTTTTATTATTTTTCAATTATATCTGATCTCTCTTTACAGACCAAAGAGAGTCTGGAAAGTACTCTGTATACTTGTGTTTATTAATTCTGTTCCCTGGATTAAGCCAGATTTTCCTTGTACATAGCTGGCATTTTATTGGCCTCTGCAAACTGCTTTTTCTGGATTGTACTTTGGCAATCTGTAGGAAAATCCCTATGAAATGTAATTAATTGCTGTGGATATTGTAAACGGTGTTCATCATTATAGTTCGTGGGATCCCTGGGTGGTGCAGTGGTTTAGCGCCTGCCTTTGGCCCAGGGCGGGATCCTGGAGACCCGGGATCGAATCCCACGTCGGGCTCCCTGAATGGAGCCTGCTTCTCCCTCTGCCTATGTCTTGCCTCTCTCTCTCTGTGTGTGACTATCATAAATAAATAAAAATTAAAAAAAAAATCATTATAGTTCGTAATGTTCTGTTTAATGATGCATGGGAGAAATTTCCTCTGGACCCAGCTGTGCTTTTCCTGAATTGCTGTTTGGTTTTACCTTAAAGACACTAAATAGTCAATAGACTGTATTTTTCTCTTCATATCAGTGCTAAACCAATTAGAGCCTAATTTGTGGTCCACTTCCATCAAGTGTTTAGGACTTCATGTTGAATGTTTTGTATGCTAGCCGCATTCTTGGTTCCATCTTCCTTTCCTACCTTTATTTTCTTTTTTCTGTTTTAATCTTTTTTCTTACTATATTATTATCTCCGTCTTTGTAAGCCTTTTTGGAGCGAGGTTGGGATATAAATGAATAAGTGTAATGTTAATGCTTTTGATTATCTCATTTCTCTTTAGACCCTTTTTTAGCTTTACTACATTTTTTTTAAGTTGTAGCGAACATACTGCATATTGGATAAAAGCCCTAAATACTAGAAATAGGAACTAATGGTTTCTAAAGTAGTTAAGAGTATTAGGTGCCTGGATCCACCACTATCTCAGAGTATTTACACAAGTTATTTTAACTTCTCTGGATTTTAGTTTTCCCATTCTGTATATAGAATGAAGGGGTTATAATCACTGGTTCTTGATTGTTGGGGGATGGGCTTCAGAGTTCTGTGATGCTTTTTCAAAGGGCAAATGTAGATAATTTTATGGTACTGTGTGTCTGGTCCAGTGTTTTGTTTTTTTAAAAAAGATTTTATTTATTCATGAGAGACACAGAGAGGGAGGCAGAGGGGAGAAGCAGGCTCCTCAAGGGGAGCCCGATGCGGGACTTGATCCCAGGACCCCGGGATCACGCCCTGAGCCAAAGGCAGACGCTCAACCACTGAGCCACCCAGGTGTCCTGTGGTCCAGTATTAATTAATGTTCAGGTCACTTAACATATAGCTTCTTTGGTCACAGCAGCATATTGGTTTAAGGTCTTTCGGACATGGTGACATGTCACTAAGATCCCTTTCTTAGGTAATATTAGGTAGCTTTGAGACCATAGTCATATAAGTGTAGTTTGAATAATTTATCACATGTGGACATTTTTTAATGTATTCTGTTCAATCAGTGGGGCACTATAGCAGTTATTCAGGGTAGAATGGAGGAGGTGATAGAAAATCAAAGTTTCAAAAAGTATAATTTGAAAAAGCACTGTCTTCACCCCCAGTTTTGATATGCTCATCCCTGAAAGGCATTCTTTCCTGCCGTCCTCCACCTGTTTAGAATCACTAACCTATAAATATAATACCTTTTACTTATCCACATGAAATTCACTTAAAAAATATTTTTATATACAACCTGATATCATTTAAGTCTAACTCTATGCTTTGATTTTTCATTACCTAGAAAAAATCAAATATACCTATCAGTATGGATATTTTAAGCTATATCCCTTCTATATTTTCTAAGAATGTAAGATTATTCTTAACACCAATCCTTATATTCTTCTAGAAAACTATCTTTGTAGTTCTACTCGTTGTTTTTTACCTCTAAGTTTCTTCACCATATATTGATCTGTTCATTGATTTAACAAATTGGTAATCACAGTTCCTTACTTAGTTACTTCTTTACATAGAGTCTTCAATGTAAAAATCTTGAAGCTTTTTCAAAATAAAATCATAGGGCAGCCCCAATGGCTCAGCGTTTTAGCGCTGCCTTCAGTCCAGGGCCTGATCCTGGAGACCTGGGATCAACTCCCACATCAGGCTACCTGCATGGAGCCTGCTTCTCCCTCTGCCTGTGTCTCTGCCTCTTTCTCTCTCTCTGTCTCTCATGAATAAATAAATAAAATCTTAAAAAACAAAATAAAATCATATTCACTGCATTATTAACTCCTGTTACGAGCTGAATTATGTCTCCCCTGCACTCCCCCTCCCTGCATTCATACTTTGAAGTCCTAACCCCCAGTACTTCAGAATGGGACTGTATTTGAAGATAGTCTTAAAGACATAATTAAGTTAAAGTGAGGTCATGTGGGTTGGCCCTAATCCAATGATTGATGTCCTTATAAAGAAGAAATTAGGACACAGACACACACTGAGGGAAGACCAAGTGAAGATAGAGGGAGATGACAGCTATCTACAAGCCAGTGGGAAAGGCCTCAGAAGAAACCAACTCTGCTGACACCTTGATCTCAGACTTCTAGTTCCAGAATTATGAGAAAATAAATTTCTGTTGAGTCTCTGGTACTTTGTTATATAGCAACCCTATCAAATACAACTGCTGTGATGAGTTCTAATAGATAAATCAGGAATGATTATTTACAAAAAAAAAAAAAAAAAAAAAACAACATGCTACCTTCTTCCCTATAGTTCTGAGAACATCATTATTTCCATAAAGTTTTGCTGGTTTATGGAGCCCACTGATTAGCAGCTGTCACACTGCCTCCTTTGTTCAGTACTCCCATCATACACATCATATACACATACATAGTAGCAGGGCTACTAATTCCAGTTTCATTCTTGAATTCACATAGAACTGCCTGGTGTGTACTTCACAGAGCTGCTGATTTGGGTTGTTTATTTAGATTTTTACAAAATAAGTAATCTCTAATCCTAAAATTTTTTTTTCTAATCCTAAAATTAAAAACTACAAGTGTTGGGGTACCTGGCTGGCTCAGTCGGTAGAGCATGTGAATCTTGATCTTGGGATTTTAAGTCTGAGTCCCATGTTAAGCACAGAGATTAATTAAAAATAAAGTAAAACTACAAGGGTTTAAAAATATTTGGACCCCTACTTCATATCATATATAAAACTTAATTCCATATACATTAATGATTTTTTAAAATATTTATTTATTCATGAGAGACACAGAGAGAGAGAGGCAGAGACACAGGCAGAGGGAGAAGCAGGCTCTATGCAGGGAGCCCGACGTGGGACTCGATCCACGGTCTCCAGGATCACATCCTGGGCTGCAGGTGGCGCTAAACCGCTGCGCCACCGGGGCTGCCCTACATTAAGGATTTAAATGTGATTGTCAAAACATTTAAAAGTTTTAGAAGAACATTTGAGAGATTAAACCTACAATCAAGGGATGGGGGAGATAACTACACCAAAACAGAAAATGAAAACACTATAAAAGAAAAGCATATTTACATAAAAATCTGGAAAATAGGGCAGCCCCGGTGGCGCAGCGGTTTAGTGCCGCCTGCAGCCCAGGGCCTGATCCTGGAGACCGTGGATCGAGTCCCACGTCGGGCTCCCTGCATGGAGCCTGCTTCTCCCTCTGCCTGTGTCTCTGCCTCTCTCTGTGTCTCTAGGAATAAATAAAATCTTAAAAAAAAATCTGGAAAATGAATGACTCGATCAAGATGCTCTTAAACAACTCCACCACATAAAAGTCCTATATGTACGGCCAAAGATACTATTAATAAAGTCAATGGACAAAAGCAGATTTTAAAAAATTCGTAATGTGATGACATCACACAAACTCTTGCAAATTAGAACAGACATAACCTATTTTTTAAAAAGGGCAAGGAATATGAAGTGATGAATCATTTATTTTTTTATTCATAGAGATGCAGAGAGAAAGAGAGAGAGGCAGAGACACAGGCAGAGGGAGAAGCAGGCTCCATTCAGAGGGCCTGACGTGGGACTCGATCCAGGGTCTCCAGATCACGCCCTGGGCCGCAGGCGGCGCTAAACCGCTGCGCCACCCGGGCTGCCCTGAAGTGATGAATCAATTACATCTATATCGTTGACACAGAAGGGTCTATGCTAGGCACATCTGGCTGGCTCAGTTTGTAGAGCATGCCACTCATGATCCTGGGGTTGTGAATTCAAGCCCCATGTTGGGAGGGAGTAGAGTTCACATTAAAAAAAAAAAAAAAAAAAGAAGGCTCTATATAAGACATTGAATGAGGGGGGAAAATGCAGAAGTATAAGAAATGGTGTAATTTTTGTAAAGACCTCAAGACTTTCTTCCCTTTCATGTGTGTCACAGAGAATGAAAAAATGGGAAAGAGAAGTACAAGTGGGGAAAAAAGAAGACCTGGCCCTCAATCCCAGAGACCCCATTCTACATATTAATTTTAGGGGAGAAAATGTGTGTATAAAATAGACATACAGAACCTGTGTATGTGTATGCATATGTTTTTACAAAGGTGTACACACTATTGATTACCTCAGGCAGGTAGAATGGAGGGGGGGGGGCTTTGCCTTTAAAACATGCTTGCATTGCATTGTTTCACTTGCTATAACAGGCATCGATTATTTTTATAATTTGAAAACCACCAAATTTGGGATGCCTGGGTGGCTCAGTGGTTGAGCAAATGCCTTTGGGTCAGGGCATGATCCTGGAGCTCCAGGATTGAGTCCCACATCGGGCTCCCTGCATGGAGCCTGCTTCTACCTCTACTACCTCTACCTCTGCCTGTGTCTCTGCCTCTCTCTGAGTCTCTCATGAATAAATAAAATCTTAAAAAAAAAACCCACCAAGTTTTAAAAATTATGCAAAACAATACCAATATTCTGTTTATGTTACCTATTTATAATAGTATTTTCCCACTCATCTACTCTTCCATATCTGTCCTGATTTGCTGCTGGAAGCACCATATAGTTTTGGCTACTCACCTAGCTCTGACATACCACCTGCGACAAAGAATAAGCATTCCAATTCACACATTTCTATAATACAGGTTTTTATCGGGACACTTGGGTGGCTCAGCAGTTGAGCATCTATCTGCCTTCGGCTCGGGGCATGATCCTGGGGTTCCAGGATCGAGTCCCACGGCGGGCTCCCTGCGTGGAACCTGCTTCTCCCTCTGCCTGTGTCTCTGCCTCTCTCTCTCTCTGTGTCTCTCATGAATAAATAAATAAAATCTTTAAAAAAAAAATACAGGTTTTTACCAGTAGCACTTAGTTTTGTTTTGGTTCTTCTGCCACTTTCCACTCTTGTTTTATTTGTGAATCTTTTTGATCGACCAGAAGTACATAGACTTTGGGATTCCCTCTGCGAGTCTTGGGAAACCCCAGGCTCAAGTTTGTGTTTTTACCTTGTCTTTCTTCCAGTTTTCCATTCAAGCAACTGTTATCTGTAGGCTGGGACTGTCATGTTTCTAGAGCAGTGCTGTCCAATAGAAGTATAATATAAGCTCTGTAAGTCATTTAAATTTGCCAGTAGCCACATTAAAAACGTAAAAAGAAACAAGTGAAATTAACTTTAATGTATTTTACTTAACCCAATACATCTAAAATATAATTTCAACATGTAATCAATATTAAAAAATATTCTATATTCTTTTTTACATACAAAGTCTTCGAAACCCAGTTTGTATTTTACACCTATAACACATCACAGTTTTGGACTAGCCACATTTGAAGTACTCAAAAATCACATGTGGCTAGTGGCTATGCTATCAGACCACAGGGTTCTACGGGAGCTCATGCCTACAGTTCATGACAGATTATAGTCCTTCCTCCTTGTATGATTTCCTTTTCCAACTTCATTAAGACTTCAGAGTGTAAATAAGGTACAGTGAGTGTCGCAATGAACACACTTTATCACAGACTCTAACTCTGAATACTTACCGTTAGGCTGTTTCCAACAATCAATTCCACCTTCCATGGCTAGATTTTCCACGGAGGGGATTCAAGCCGACCGAAGAATATAGTCCTATAGTTGGTGGCGTGGAGGGTTGAAATCTCGACTCTGCCATTTACTACCGGCGGGACATTGGGCCAATTGTATTAGGGCTTAGGTTCTGGTCTGCAAAAGGGTGGTATTTATACCACCTACTTCATAGGTCCTTAGGAGGGTTCAAGGAGTTAATATAGAGAAAGCATTTGGAACAGTGCCAGGTACATAATAAATGTTCAATACTTGCTAGCTGTCGTTCCCGTAAACTTGTAGCAGGCCCTGAGGTAAGTCCCAGGGAAACACGTGACAGTCCGAAGAGCCTACATTCCAGCTCAAGGCCACCTCAGGCCACCCCGACACAGGGCCTACGCGCGGACCCACCTGGCCTCGTTCGTTACAGGACTTTCCATCACTTCTCCCTTCCGCGCACCCCAAGGCTCTTTCCGGTCAAGGCTAAGGCGCCAGGTAACTAAGGCAAACCCGAGGAGAGGCCTCCTCAGGCCAGGCAACCGAGACAACTTTTCTGACAGGGTGTGAGGGTGGCCCCACTGGAAGCGGGAGGTAGCTGACTCTCCAGCTGTCTGGGTACCCGCGCCGAGGTGAGGCCGCAAAGCCGGCCTGGGCCGGGGTGCGCTTCCAGCCCCCCAGCCGGCTCCTGCGCTGCGAGTGCTGTTGGTGGGTGTCCGTCCAGCGAGCGAGCGCGCGCCGACCGCCGGCCGGTGGGGGCGTGGCCTGCCCTAGCCCCGCCCCCGCCCGCCGGGCTCGAGCCCGGAGCGGACCGCCAGGCCGACGCGCCCAGGCCCCCGCAGCCAATCGTGAGGCGCGGCGCAGGTTCAAATAAAGACGGCGGGTGAACGTGGCGTCTGCTCTAGGGTCTGAGAGGTGACCGATCGGCGTTCGGTAGTGGAAATGTGGCGGGTGAAAACGCTGAGCCTTAGCGGGTCGCCTTCGCCCCAACCGGTGAGCGGGAGAGCCTCAGGGACGGAGACAACTGGGCCGGGGTTTCGGGGCGGGGACGCCGGCAACGCCGAGGGTCCTGGAAAGCTGGGCCCAGCCCGGGGAAGGGGCTGTGTATGGAGTCTGTTACTGGTTCTGCCGCTTCGGCGCGACTGGGGTGGAAGTCTGCCCTTCTTCCTATTGCCCCAGGACCCACTTCTTAGGGGAGAAGGGCCGGGCTGGCCCAGCGCAGGCATTCTCCTCACACTCTCTGCTTTCTCAGGGAAAACCAGCTATGAGAACTCCTCTCCGAGAACTTGTCCTGCAGCCCGGTGCCTTCACCACCTCTGGAAAAGGGCCCCCGGTATGCCACTCGCCAACCTCTTCACAGTACAAGCTGGGACTGCAGGTGAGATTCGCCTGGCCGGCTTCTCGATTGGGCTCTTTGCCGAGGTCGAGGGCTCGGAGGAACAGAGGGCCAGGGCTGGAACGTAATTAACCATAATGAAGTCTTCTACCTTAGTGACATCCATTTACAGCTATTCAGGCCAACAGAGAGGTGCCCTAGGGTGGTTAAAGGAAATCCACCGAGAACCTAGACCTCTATTTAGCTGTTAGTTTCTATCACCTCCTCCCTCATTAAACCTTTACCGAACTACTGAGAAATACTATCACTTTGCTTAGTGGTTTTCCCCTAACGTGGGCTCACACTCAGACATCAGTCAGCTGCCATAGTGAGGCAATATTCACATCCATTCCAAGGGTTAATCAGAACTCTTCCTGGGATCAAGTTACCCCACTGAAAGGCAAGGTACTTGGACCATCTTTTAAACTAGCCCATTGTAGAATTGCCCTGTTGAGTTGTGCTTTTGTCAAAAGTCTTGAGAGAAGTAGCCCTGTAGAAACTGCTTTTCAGTTGTTGTAAAAACTTGCCAGAGAAGGAAACTGACCCTTCTAAAAGTTCCTTGAAGAAAAAAAAATTAGATTTTATTTATTTATTTGAGAGAGAGACTGAGAGAGCACAAGCAGAGGGAGGGGCAGAGGAAGAGGAAGAAGCAGAGGCCAGGGGCTGAGCAGGGAGCCCAACATGGGGCTTGATCCCAGAACCTTGGGATCATGACTTGAGCCAAAGGCAGATACTTAACTGACTGAGCCACCCAGATGCCCCGAAGAAATTTCTTTAAGAGCTTAACTGCCTGGAAAATTGTCTTCATAAAGAAATTGCTGTCCTTTTCTCTTTCTGATACAGAGAGCTACCTGTAGTTTGCCATATTTTTCTTCTTGCTCTGGCTTCTAGAAAGAAAGCTCAGGGTCAAATTTGATCATCAGATAAAGGTACGATTACTCCTTGAAATAGGAAGATTTGCTTCCTTTTTCTTTTTTGACTATGATTTTGTGTTTCATTAACCGGATCTATTTGTTCTTTTTCATGCAGTCTGAATTATTTTTAATATTTTTATTTTTAGTTATATTCATTTTTCCTTTAGTAGGCTCCACAGCCAATGTAGGGCTCGAAGTCATGACCCCAAGTTCAAGAGTCGCATGCTCCACTGACTAAGCCAGCCCCTTTGCAGTCTGAATTATTTCTTGGAGGAGATAGGATATAAATAAAATAGATTATAGGAGGAAAAAAGAAAGTATAAAAACATGATATCCTGAATAACAGATGTATGAAGGTGGTGGCCTTTCTTGAAAACAATCTAACACCTACTGGTCAGTAGAACTTTCTGGGAATCACCTGGGTGGGTTAGTTGGATAAGCATCTAACTCTTGGTTTTGGCTCAGGTCATCATCTCAGGGTCCTGTGATTGAGCCCAAGTGGGCTCCTTCCTTAGCGGGAAGTCTGCTTCCCCTCTCCCTCTCTTTTTGCCCCTCATTCTGCTCTCTCTCTCTCAAATAAATAAGTAAATCTTGGAAGAAAAAGAGAGATCTTTATGGGATGATGGAAATGTTTGATAACATGGGCTGTCCAATATGGTGGCTATGAGTTATGTGGCTGTTGAGCACTTGAAAGGTAGTTAATGGGACTGAGGAAGTAAATTTTATTTAATTTTAATTTACCATATTAAACAGTACAGCTTAGGTAGAAAAAAAAAAAGTACTTAGTGGGAACTTATCTTCATACACTTGATCTTAGCCAAAAGGCCAAGAAGTGATAGGGAACTGATCTTCATAGAACTTATAAAATTGAACCACAGCCTTTTAATCACAGTAGCAGAATAGAATGGAATTTAGGTCTCCCTTCTGCTACCTTCTGATATAGTCAGCTTCACAGACAAAAAGAATTTTTTCCCCAACAAAATACTATTACTTTTGCTTTTTTAGTTTTTTTTTTTTTAAAGATTTTATTTATTTATTCATGAGAGACACAGAGAGAGAGAGGCAGAGACACAGGCAGAGGGAGAAGCAGGCTCCATGCAGGGAGTCTGACATGGGACTCGATCCTGGGTCTCCAGGACCACACCCTAGGCCGAAGGCGGTGCTAAACCACTGAGCCACCTGGGCTGCCCTTGCTTTTTAAATTTTGATTAATTATATAATAGATGATCATTGTTTGAAACATTCAAACAATATATAAGAAAGAAGGTATGTTTTTGCCATCTTAGATAACTATCATATTTGAAAATCCTTTCTTGCCTTTCTTTTATTTATTTAATTTACTTTTTGAGAGAGAGAGAGAGAGCGCGCGCGCGCGCAAGAGAGAGAAGGAGAGATCGTGCCCATGTATACACATGTGTGAGCGGCAAAGGGAGAGGGAGAGAGAAAATCCTGAGCAGGCTCCATGCCCAACTCAGAGCCCCATGCAGGACTCAATCTCACCACCTTGAGATCACAACCCAAAGGGAAACCAAGAGTTAGTTGCTTAACCAGCTGAGCCACCCAGGTACCCCCTTTCTTACATTTCTTTTGTGAATCTGTGTGTATGGACATACACACTCATCCATGTATTATTGTAATATATTTTTATAAAGGCAATTTTTTTCTTTTTTCTCTGCCCCTTCCCTTTTTTTGTTGTTGTTTTTTGTTTTTTGTTTTTTTTTGCTTAGCTCCATGTTTCCTATCTCTCTTTACCCCTCTTCTGGAATTAATTCTTTCCACACATGCCTTGCCTTTCCCAAGTAACCAGTCCATTTTAACATCCTGATTTATATCCTTCCATATTTTTCTCTGTGTTCTTTTAATAATATACAGACATACATTATTATTTTATTGATAAGATCACAACATATGAGTCAGTGCTCATTATTTGACATTGCCCTTTTTCCTAGGGTCCATGGATCTCTGTGGGCCCCAGCAAAACATTACACTAAATCTGGTCCCCAATTTCTCATCTGTCCAAGAAGAGAGAAAATCTTGGAGCAACTCTAGAGTTTGGCAGAGCTTACCTAGCGATCTCTCCTATCCATTCCTCTAATGGAATTAGGACTGAAGATGAGTGGGGTCACATTTAAGCTACTATCGCCTCCAGGATATGGATAGATTATCTCAGCCTTGTTTGTATTGTAGGCTGATTCACTTGCAAGGACATAAGATGGGTTCCCAGCTTTAGTTAAAGTTTAGTTAGGTTTATTTATTTATTTATTTATTTTAAAGATTTTATTTATTTATTCATGAGAGACACAGAGAGAGAGAGGGAGAGGCAGGCTCCATGCGGGGAGCCCGACGTGGAACTCAATCCTGGGTCTCCAGGATCAGGCTCTGGGCTGAAGGTGGCGCTAAACTGCTGAGCCACCCAGGCTGCCCTAGTTAGGTTTAGTTTAGGGTTTCTTTAGTGAGAGCAGGGCATAGCCAAGTTTTTACTTAAGCAGAGGTAATGAAAAATCTTCCTTTGGGACACCTGGGTGGCTCAGAGGTTGAGCATCTGCCTTCGGCTCAGGGCATGATCCCAGGATCTGGGATTGAGTCCTGCACCAGGCTCCTTGCATGAAGCCTGCTTCTCCCTTTGCCTGTATCTCTGCCTCTCTCTCTCTCTGTGTCTCTCATGAATAAATTAAATCTTAAAAAAAAAGGAAAGAGGAAAATCTTCCCTTGAGTTTAGACAGTATTCTGTACTCATAATTGTAGGTTGGGAACCTGAATTGACTGCCTTGGCCAACTACTTTTGTTTTCTTTGGCAGGAAGATAGCAACACTGCATCTCCACTGGATTTTGTCAATGCCAAGAGGACAGACTCCTCTTCAGAACAGTTCAGCCATCCATCAAAGTGCCTGGAAGCTTGTCATCGTAAATCAGATGAACAGCCTCTAGATTTGAATCCCCAAACCAACTATACTCCCAGAATATCTGAGGAAGGAGTAGATCCACTGGACAACAGTGTGTTTAAAACCATGTTCCTTGTACCCTCTCCAGTGGGGCAGCAGCAAGATGTCACACTTGAGGCTCATTTAGATACCATGGCAGAGACAAATAACATCTCTCCAGATGAGCCTTTGAACCCAGGAGATTTGCTAAGTGAGGGGGTGGCGGCCTGCCTAGAAGACAGCCTTAAAGAAGTTGTTCCTACTATGCCTGAGAAACCTACATTTCAGCATCCTCCATCCCACATCCTGGAGTATCTACCAAATCCCTGTTTTGAGCAACAACCACACTGCTCCAAAGAATGCTTTAGGGGCAGTAGGACTGAGGCTGTGGTTGAGGACTTAGTCCCTTCTGAAAGTAATACCTCCTTGCCTTCCTCCATGTTCTGGCTCTCCCCTTCAACTGACTTAGCAACAGATTTCCTTGTCAGTCATGTGGACGCAGGGGAGGAAATTGTAGAG